CCACTACACACTCTGCATCCTCTGAACTGTCCCCCACTACACACTCTGCATCCTCTGAACTGTCCCCCACTACACACTCTGCATCCTCTGAACTGTCCCCCACTACACACTCTGCATCCTCTGAACTGTCCCCCACTACACTCTCTGCATCCTCTGAACTGTCCCCCACTACACACTCTGCATCCTCTAAACTGTGCACCACTACACACTCTGCATCCTCTGAACTGTCCCTTACTACACACTCTGCATCCTCTGAACTGTCCCCCACTACACACTCTGCATCCTCTGAACTGTCCCCCACTACACGCTCTGCATCCTCTGAACTGTCCCCCAATACACACTCTGCATCCTCTGAACTGTCCCCCACTACACGCTCTGCATCCCTTCCCACTACATTGTCTACATCCCTTGGATAGTCATGGGATTGCAAATCACTAACTCTGTATAGAATGGCTCACATCATAAATGACATTGCCTCTTTGCTCCTCAGAGATTCCCTGATGCACCAGAACATCAACCTACAGCTTGACCCAGCCGTTGCTGGTGTCTTCTCCGGAAACCCCTATCCCTTCGGCCTTGACCCGGTAAGTGCCTTTCCTGTCTCTCCAGAAGCTCTACAGATGATCTGAAGTCTTCTCTGATCCAGAGTCCTAATCTTGTTACTCCAGATCTGGAATATTGCCAAGAATAAGCTGACCTTCTTGAACTCCTACAAGATGAAGATGTCTGTGATCCTGGGAATCACTCAGATGGTGTTCGGGGTCATGCTCAGCCTCATAAACCACATGTAGGTTTGGTTCAGCAAGTGATACATTTTGCTCAGGGCAGCAAAAACCATCAACATTTGTTACATTTTCTTATTTTTATAATCTTTCAGAAACTTCAGGAGTCGCCTGAACATCATCCTGCAATTCATTCCAGAAATCATCTTCATCCTTTGCCTCTTTGGGTATCTGGTCTTCATGGTCATCTTTAAGTGGTGTACCTACAATGTGTACAACTCACAGAAGGCTCCCAGCATCCTCATCCACTTCATCAATATGTTCCTCTTCAACTACAACGACCCGACCAATCTTCCCCTTTACACGCACCAGGTGACTAGACCCAGGACTTCAGATTTGTCTTGGGCAGTTATACAATCCGCCTAAAAAAGTAGTTTGAGCTCGGAGAAATTTTTTGGAGCGGGATAATGTCACCAATTTTTGGGTTAAAGTGCATAGGTTTCCTTGCCCATTTAGGACAAAGGTCCTCTTGAAACCCACCCATTGATATTTACCTCACCCAATAGGTAACTTATGTCCGAGCACTGCATCCTGGGAGGAAGGGGAGATTGTCACATGCTCCCCCATACCCAGACATACCAAGTACTTCTCAGCATTCCTGCAAATGAAAGGAGCTACAGAGGTGGAGGGGGGACTTGTCCTATCATGAGAACCTGTCAATTTGGGGCAGACCACTATAAGCCCTTTAATTAAAGCTCAAGTGAAGTCACATAAATAGATATTTATCAGATAAACATTGCACTAACAATCCCTTTATTCATTGTCTTACCCCCATGTTCCTATTATATTTGTGCAGTGTGTCAGAATATGACTGTACAGCCCAATAACAATGTACAGGCAACTCCGCATTCTAACAGACCTGGTTGGGAATACTCCCTCTCTGCTTAGACACGTCTGTGATGAGGGGTTTGGCTGTTACTCAGCTCTGTCAGCACAGAACACTTGAGGGGGAGGGCAAGAAGCAGCATTTCTACTAAGAGAAAAAGATACTTTAAGGCATTTCCAAGCCAAACAAAAATCATAACACATATCGGTACAGATATACAAGTCTGTACAGATCTGTACAAATAGAAAAAAGGTTTAAGACTTCAACTGGGATTTGAAGGATAAATTCGCTTTTATGCACCAATGGTGCTATTTTATACACACACACACACACACACACACACACACACACACACACACACACACACACACACACGTGAATGGGTCAGAGAGGTGACTCGTGCCCCCTGAACTGACTGCTTCCTCATCTGAGGTTCCCATTAGACAGACAGTCTGAAAGCAGGGAGCTTCTAATGTACTGCCCCTTTAGTTTACACATAGTGCTCTAGTAAAAAATGACCCCAAACTATTATAGTTTCCCTTAAAGATGGACCGCCAGTAGTCCCAGCAGCAGTCCTATTTCAGGTCAATTACATACAAGTTAATCTTGCACGGATAAGGATGAAGAGCCCCTTTAAAAAAACAAGTACAGCTCATGTTCACATCCTTACACTAAGATTCGATCCGTCTGTTATTCATGAACTCTCTGATTTTCCTCCAGCAAGAAGTGCAGAGTTTCCTGGTGATATTCGCACTCATCGCCGTTCCTTGGATGCTGGTGATTAAACCGTTCATCCTCCGAGCCAATCACCAGAAGGCCCAGCGCAGGGTAAGTGGCATGCGGTCCAAATAGTGTTTATTAAAAGTGAGGGCGAATCTGTCGGTCCAAATTCTTCGCATGATAAAGATCCCCAACACCTAAATTGTATTATTTACATAAAACTCATCTCCTTTTTTTTTTTAAGTTTAAATATTTAAATGATACTATCTACAGCCAAAACTTTTCTATTTAGATATTTAAAGAGGACCTTTCACTTGCAAAAAAATATTCAGACGTAAAATGTTTAAAAGTTTCCGGTGTTTATGCTTACAATGTAAATTTACCTCCTTTATTTATCCTAAAGTAGAACTCTGGGCAAAAATAATATTATTCCTTGTAGTGGGGCTATCCCCGCACTGCAAGCGTTGACTGCTCTTTTGTGTCTAGAACCCTCAGACCCGGCAGCGCTCCCTCCAGCCTCTCTCCTCCACTGCAGCGATGATACAGTCCTATACACTGTATTGGGCGTGATGGTCTTGGGGATCCTTAGACCCCTGCAGTGTGAAGGGGGGGGGGGGGGGGTGTCTGGAGACACTACAAGGACTGATCTAATAGCAAGCCGGCTCCGAGCCCTAGACACGAAAAAGCAGTTAACCCTTGGAATACGAGGTAGCCCCACTGCAAGGGTCAATAGTATTTTTGCCCAGGGTTCTGCTTTAATTGAATTGTCTAAGCCTTACTATAGCTCTGAAAAGGCAAAGATGAGGGGTCACCTTTGGGCCAACATTTGCTACCCTGTCAACTATCTAACCTCCAGCTGATATAGAGATGCTGTCTCCCGACTCCTGAGAATGCACAACTGCATCAAATAAGAGAGCACATCAGCTGTGTGAACTCCACTTAACTACGGGGGACTTTGTTATTTGATACAGACAGCAGGGAGACAGTTAGTGGAATTTATCAAAACTGGAGCAGACAAAATCTGGAGAAGCTGTGCATGGCAACCAATCAGCTTCTCTCTTTTATTTAAGTCATTACTAAACAACCTGAAGAGAAATGATGATTGGTTGTCATGGGCAACTGCTCCAGATTTTTTCTGCTCCAGGTTTGATAAATTCCCACCAGCGTGTGTTAACAGAATACAATAAGGCAGATGTCAGTAACTGCAAGACCTCGGGGAGGAAGGGGTTGTCTCATCTTTGATTCATTGCATTTAAAAACATAATAGTGAATTAAGGACCAAATTAACATCTTTCATAGTTAAAGGGGTTCTAAAGCCTCGTTTTTTTTTTGTCTATATCTACTGCTGGCAAGCAGTAGATATAGGCAAAAAGTTTTTAAAAAACCCCCCCAAAAAAACGCTTTAACAGCGGTTTAAACTTACCTTGTTATCGCTGCGCGCTCCCACGCCGTGAATCCGGAACTGCTAGTGCGGCCGCAAAGGATTTTGGGGCGGGCGCATGCGCAGTTCGGATTCTCGGCCGGGAGACGAGCAGAGACGCAAGGTAAGTCTATGGACGCATGCACCCGCATGCAGACACTGCTGGATCGGAAGCGCCTGCAAGCAGAAAGGAGTCAGCGCTGGATCGGAGAGCCGCTGCACCGCTGGAGGGACAGATGAAAACATCAGGAAAGAAGAAGAAGATCGGATTAAGAGATATCATTTAAAGTAAGTGCTAACATTAACATGGGGGGGGGGAGGGAACATTTTTTTTTACTTTAATGTCACTTTAGGCCTGCACATTTATACTAATTACGTTGGAATAAAGTCGTACCTCAGTCCACGAACTTAATTCGTTCCACGATTCTGGTCGCAAACCGAAATGGTCGCGAACCGAACCAAACTGTGATCAAACCGCGATCTCGACCAGAGGAAGCCACGGCCATGTATCAGAGCAGGGAAGATGACTGCAGTTGTGTTTGTCACCCGATGTGAGGTCGCGAACAGAAGCAACATTTTGCTGAACTTCCTGTTCGCGAACCGAATTGTTCACGAACAGAAGCGTTCTAGGTACCGCCGTATTTTGTACAATAGCACCATCTCTCTAGGAAGTTAAGCAAAACATTGACCATCCAGCAGATGGCGCCATTGTACTGTGTATGTTTTCTCTTTCTGCAAACATAGCATGATGAAACAACTGTATAAGATACCAGCATGGGTTTTCTCTTCATAATTAAAGTGTGTATTTTTTGGGAAAGCTATTTTTCTGTCTGTATCCTGTTCGGCAGATTTCCCTTCAATTTCTGTGCTGGAGGCGCAGTGAGAGGAAATATCTTAGTGATGGAAATCCACTCTTGTCACCAGAACAGGTCTCCCCATTGGAAGGTTTCCCGTGTATTCCTGTTCTGGTTATGGCTTTAATAAAAATAGTTTTTTATGCCAAAGGAAAACAGAACAAAAATAGAGATAGATAAACATTAACCAAAAACAGGGGGAGGCATTCAAAAAAAGGTGAAGCTACATTTTTTTCTACCTTTGTGTGAAGTTCCTTCTTCAGTTTTGTTCGCCCCCAAAAATAATCCTTTTAAAGAAAATGGCACATTTTCCGAAATAAGAAAATTATAATTTTCAGTCTCTTTGAAATTGAGCCTAAAAAATCCTGAGCTGAACCAGTTCTTAAGATACTTTCAATTGGCCCATAAGCGTACCAAGCTTCGTGTCAATTGGAATACAAGGCACAGTTCCTAAGATACTCTCAATCGGCTCCTAAGAGTCCTGAGCTACCTGTCAATTGGAATAAAAGGCACATAGAGGTGAACCGGTTCTTCATATCCTTTCAGCTGGCCCTTAAGGGTCCTGAGCTTCATGTCAATTGGAATATAGGACATGGAAAGGTGAACCGGTTTTTAAGATACTTTCAGTTGGCCCATAAGGTTCCTAAACTTCGTGTCAATGGAACATAAGGCACAGAGAGGTGAACCAGTTCTTAAGATACTTTCAATTGGCCCATAAGGGTCCTAAGCTTCGTGTCAATTGGAATACAAGGCACAGTTCCTAAGATACTCTCAATCAGCTCCTAAGAGTCCTGAGCTTCCTGTCAATTGGAATATAGGGAGTAGAGATGTGAACCAGCTTTTAAGATACTTTCAGTTGACCCCCTAAGAGTTCAGGGCTTTGTGTCAATTGGAATATAAGGTACAGGGTGGTGAACCAGCACTTAAGATACTTTCATATGGTACTGAGCTTCATGCCAATTGGAATATAAGGCACATCGAGGTGAACCAGTTTTTTAGATACTTTAATTTGGCCCCCAAAGGTCCTGAGTTTCATGTCAATTGGAATATAAGGCACGGAGAGAGGTGAACCAGTTCTTAAGTTACTTTCAGTCGGCCCCTAAGAGCCCTGAGCTTCATGTCAATTGGAACATAAGGCACAGAAAGGTAAACCAGTTCTTAAGATGCTCTCAGTCAGCTCCTAAGAGTCCTGAACATTATGTCAATTGAAATATACAGTAAGGCACAGGGAGGTGAATCAACTCTTAATATACTTTCAGTTGGCCCCTAAATAGTTCTGAGTTTTTGTGCCAATTGGAATATAACACACTGAGAGGGGAACTAGTTCTTAAGATACTTTCAGTCACACCTTAAGCTTCCTGAGCTTTGTGTCAATTGGACTATAAGGCACAGGGAGGTGAGGCAACTCTTAATATATACTCTCAATGTTCTCATGCAGCTTCATTCTTCCTCCACCCCTGAGGATCACATCGAGATCGCAGACATGGAGAACTCCCAGTCCAATCACTCCAAGGGAGAGAAGAAGGAGGAGCATGGAGGAGATCACGGAGAAGGACATGGGGAGCATGGAGGAGATCACGGAGGAGGACATGGGGAGCATGGAGAAGAGGTACACGTCCTTGGAATGTGATGGATAGACTGTGTGTTTCACAAAACTTTCCCATGTCTCTGTATATGCAAAAATGTAAACTTTAATGGCACATTCAAGACAAAATTGGGTTTTAGATGGAGCAGTGGTAGGTTAGAACCTTAATAAAACATCAGTGTCCCCAATGGGGAGATCTTTTCTAATCTTCTGTGATATTGACCACTGAGACAGGGAGGCAGAATGTGTTTCCCCAATGGGGACCAATACTCTCCCCCACTCAAACCAAAAAAATAAAATGATTTTATAGACAAAATCACAATTTGAAATAAAGAACAATGAGGATGGGTGGAGCGTGTTATTAAGCAAATAGTACATAAAGCATGGTGTCATTTTTATTGTAATACCTTCTGCAATATATTTATAGAATTGGAACAATTTGATGGAGAAAAATCCCAATTACCCATTCATAGCAGTTCAAATAACAGAACTGTTGTACCGCATACTCCCTGCAGGAGGAGGGAGAGCTTTTAACTATTTTTTATACTCAAGGGAACCTGTCATGAAACCACATAGGCTGCTCATTATAACCTCCATCACCAAACACTAACTGTTGTGCATTGAAGTGAAACGTTTTCTCTCTCCCCTGCAGTTTGATTTTGGGGACAACTTTGTCCATCAAGCCATCCATACTATAGAGTACTGCCTGGGCTGCATCTCCAACACTGCATCCTACCTTCGCCTGTGGGCGCTCAGTCTGGCACACGCACGTAAGTTCCAGTTTCGGTCCCCTCCACATTCAAACTGTTAGGTTTTTAACCTGTATCCTGCCATCCGTTTCCCATAATTCCTCATTCTATGCAGAAGATGACCATATCAACTAAAAGGGTTCATTCACATTTGCTTTAGATAAAAGGTTTCTCGCAAGCTGATGTCAATCCACTTCCAATTGATTTGTATTATGGGTTTCACAATGGGTTGGGCAGAAGTCCATATACCCATCGCATTCCTGACCACCAAATTCAAGAATGAGCAGGTGGGTGCAACGGTGGTCGATGGATGGCATATTAGGAGTCTTTATTGACATGAATGTGACATATCACACAAGCAGGGGCGTAACTAGAAATCACAGGGCCCTGTGATTGGGGCCCTGTGAATTCTAGTTACGCCCCTTGCAGAGCCCACCTGAGATTGCACACAGCCCACCTGAGCGTGACCCTGCAGAGCCCACCATAGACTCTCTATGGTGGGTTCTGCAGGGTCTCAGGTGGGCTGGTCACACCCCTGCACACTTCTTTCCTGTCAGCCCGGATCCGCTATCAGCTTCCTCCACAGTCGCCTGAGGGCCCTGCCTACTCCTCCTCCACCGCCACCGGGCCACGCCTCCTCCTCCGCTGCCGCCACCAGGCCCCGCCTCCTCCTCCGCAGGTTATCAGTGATCTGTGCAGCGGCATGTTCCTCCTCACAGCCGCCAGTGACAGTTAGCAGCCTGCGATGCCATAGCGACCCAAGCGGCCCGCACGGCATCAGGGAGACCCCTTTTTTCCTCGTCCTGGCCGGGTCCCCCTGTGTCCCGTAGTGGCCGTCTGGGTTGCTATGGCGATAGTTCCGCCACTGCACACAAGTGCAACGTTTTGGGGTCACACAAGATCCCCTTCCTCAGGCAAGACATGTGTGACCCCGAAACGTTGCACTTGTGTGATATGTCGCATTCACGTCAATAAAGACGCATCATATCTGTAATTACTTTACTTAACTACTTCTATGGAATCTACATTATGATACATGGTATCAGTGGCGTCACAAGGGGGGTGCGGGGGGTGCGGCCCACACCATTGGAGGGGTGACACCAAAATGACGGACAGTGCTCTCTGAAAAGTCAGGCACTCGGTCAAGAACCGAGAGCCCGACACTTACTCGAGAGAGAAGGGGACCCGGCGGCATACCTTATCCTGCCGGGTGATGTCCCCTCCTCTCGCTGCCGGCGTCCATCACCAAGATGGCCGCCGGCAGGTAACACCGGTACGATGACGTCACTGCGGGGTGCCACCCAGTACCTGCACCGGGTGTCATCCAGCCTCGGGACGCCTCTGCATGGTATGGTACATGGATGATATTATCATAACATGGGCAAGGTAGAGGGATTGCAGATTTCCAGAATCCACTTATAAAATGAACATATTAGAAAACAAATCTACTCTGAACTGATACAATGTCTATATAGACAATTCATTCACATAAGACATTGTATTTATCAAAGGAAAGAGCAGAAAATACTCCAGTCACAGGCTGAGGGGAGGGACAAGACCTGTTAGTGTTACTGAACTGCCGCAGAAAAAAATCAGGTCTCCTCCCCTGCCAGACAGGGCTGTGGTGTGTGGCAGAGCTCTGTAACTCTCAAGACTAAATGGACAGAAATACAAGTCCATTTGGGGGGAAAACAGCTACCATTAGGGATGGACCGATACCGATACTAGTATCGGTATCTGTGGCGAGTATTTGGGCGAGTACTTGTACTCGCCCAAATGCTCCGATGCCTAGCCCAATACTTCTGGTATCAGGAAGCCGGGCAGCAAGTCATTACACTTGGAACCCGGCTCCATGCTCCCTTGTCACTTGTGTAATGACTCACTGCCCAGCTTTCTGATTGTCCGGGAAGCCGGCTTCGTGCTCCCTCGTCACCTCATGACGAAGGACCATGGAGCTGGCTTCCCGGACAATCAGGAAGCCGGGCGTCGCTTAATTACATGGCGCCCGGCTTCCTGATTGGCCAGAAAGCCGGCTCCATGCTTTTTCGTCACCTAGTGATGAGAAGCATGGAGACGGCTTCCCTGCTAATCAGGAAGCCAGGCAGCGAGTCATTACACACCGCCTGGCTTCCTTAATGGGACTTCCGGTATCGGTATTCGGTATCGGCGAGTACCGGGGAAAAAATATCGGTACTCATACTCGATACTGAAATACGATACCGGTATCGGTGCATCCCTAGCCACCATGTATTACCATGTACGAGTTCAGCTCGTATATGAAGCCAGTCATAAAAAACAGGAAGACCGCCTTTCTGACATCTCTTTGACTATTCCATGCCGCATACTTCCAGGTCAGAGACTCAAAAGATTTTGAGGATAGTTATTTAGCATGACAGCCAACTATTATTTTCAAGAGGTTTCGGCAGTGGAACCCCTTCATCTCATCACAGGTAACCTATCAATAAAGCGCTCCATTCTATCCCAACTGTTTGAAGAACAGGAACACTTTGATGATATATTTTCCCCGTTCTCTGGTTCTCCCCGCAGAGCTCTCTGAGGTCCTGTGGACGATGGTGATGCACATCGGCCTGTCTAGCGCCGGCTGGGGCGGCCTTATTGGCGTTTTCATCATTTTTGCCATTTTTGCTGTGCTGTCCGTGGCCATCCTGCTGGTCATGGAGGGGCTCTCTGCCTTCCTGCACGCTCTCCGTCTCCACTGGTAAGTCCGTCTCCTTTGTAGGACATTACTCCAGGATATACTGTACAGTTGGTTTACCATGTTGAAGAGATCCTATCCTTGTCAGTAGTCCTGGGCTCTCCTTTCAATGTCAGTTTTTTTAGCAATAATTACAGGATATCGATATTTATAAGCTGATTGAAGGAACTGGTTGGGAAATTGTTCGCTGAACAGAACTAGCAGCCAATTAGCTGCTAGCTCTGTTTGGCTATTCTGGCCGGCGGCCGCTGCCAGAGTGTAAAGGAAATCTTCGATTACGCTTGTACAAAAAAGATAGAATTCCTGTGACCCAAAAGAGAACTAATGCCAAAATAGGTTTGGCCATGGTTCCATTTTAATGTCCATGAATATGTCACAGCTTTACCTGATCTGCTCCATCCATTTCCTCTACAGGGTGGAGTTCCAGAACAAGTTCTACCATGGATCAGGTCATCTATTCAGTCCGTTCTCCTTCCAGGGCATCCTCGATGGAACAGCAGAAGATTAGGTTTTGGGTCTACCTGTTCAACAACAAAGACCTAAACCCCCCATGGTGGATAACTATTATGCCTAAATTATTAACAATAAAATACTCTTTATGAGAACCTGTATATGTGTTTCTTCTCTGTGTTGTCATATAAATATAACTCAGCTGTCTTTTATAAAGCAGTTGCATTATTCTACCAATATTCTGGCCCTGACTCTGGCAAGCTGCAAAAGCACTGAAGGTCTGCATGACACTCAATGATTGCTAGAGTGAATGGTAATAAGTGAGGTAGTCACTTTAGCATGCCTTAAAGCTGATCTCAAACCACATTTTCACCCCCTTCTTTTTTTTTTTGTACCCCCTATAACTAATTGTTAGGAGGATAGTTTAGAAAGCTAAAAACCCATTTTACTTACCTGAATTCTCAGTCATGCGGCACACTTGTCTTCTTGACTGCAACATGCTACTGGTTGTGTCAGTAGGTAGTGATGGATGAATCCTCTCGGGTTCAATTTGCCAAAGGCTTGAGGAATCTTTTTCAACATTAGGAAAACGCAAACATGGAAGTCTGTGCAGGGTGAATCTTATTAAGACCTTTTTAAGTAAGAGACCGCAGATGACACAGCCGTATACAATTGGCCAGCAGCAGAACAATAGTAATGAGCAAGGCCAGACCCAAATCTACTAGAGACAAACAGCACAGGCCGGGGCTGTACTGCAAGAGTTAAGATACTGAGGATACAGCAGTGTAAAATGTTCCTGGTTGTATCAGTACTGATCTGATTGTGTCTGTATTGATGTCTTTGTGGACACATTCCTGGTGGTGTCAGTATGTACTGATTGTGTCTCTATGGTTGTGTCTTGGTGGACACTTTCCTGGTTGTGTCACTATGTACTGATTGTGTTTCTATGGTTGTGTCTTTGTGGACACTTTCCTGGTTGTGTCAGTATGTACTGATTGTTTCTCTATGGTTGTGTCTTTGTGGACACTTTCCTGGTTGTGTCAGTATGTACTGATTGTTTCTCTATAGTTGTGTCTTTGTGGACATGTTCCTGGTTGTGTCACTATGTACTGATTGTGTCTCTATCGTTGTATCTTGGTGGACATGTTCCTGGTTGTGTCAGTACATACTGATTGTGTCTCTATGGTTCTATCTTGGTGGACATGTTCCTAGTTGTGTCAATACATACTGATTGTTTCTCTATAGTTGTGTCTTTGTGGACATGTTCCTGGTTGTGTCACTATGTACTGATTGTGTCTCTATCGTTGTATCTTGGTGGACATGTTCCTGGTTGTGTCAGTACATACTGATTGTGTCTCTATGGTTCTATCTTGGTGGACATGTTACTGGTTGTGTCAGTACATACTGATTGTGTCTCTATGGTTCTATCTTGGTGGACATGTTCCTGGTTGTGTCAGTACATACTGATTGTTTCTCTATGGTTGTGTATTGGTGGACATGTTCCTGGTTGTGTCAGTACATAATGATTGTGTCTCTATGGTTGTGTCTTTGCGGACACGTTCCTGGTGGTGTCAGTATGTACTGATTGTGTCTCAGTCCAGTTAAGAAATGTGTAATCCATTGTGTGTGATAACTTGTTCATGTTTATGTGGAACACGTGTCCTGTGTGTGTGTTGGGACATCAGTGTCCAAAGCCATTGCGGTGAATGGGTGTGGCACAAGGTAATTGCCTCACATGACAGATCCCTGCACAAATTGCCATACCCGCCATTCACACGTTTCTAATGACTACGCACCTGAACATGTCGCCATTGTGATATCAGTTGGACCTGAAGGGAGGTCACTATGTACAGGTCTCTGGATAGTGTCCAGGGAACACAATAATCCTTATTGACGGGTGTGCTGGATACACTCAGCTCTAATTATTATAAGGTTATATAAATGTCCTGTAATGTGATATCTGATGTTCTCGGCAGATTAATCCCAGCAAAGTTTCTCTTGTATATATAATGCCTCAGCCGTCAGACGGAACAAAAATCAGAATGCTGGAAAAGAAAAAAGATTCCAGTCTTGTTGGGACTCTATTCTATTAGAGGAGATGAAACTGATCCCCCTGAAGACACATAAATGTGTTTAGTTTGCAAATTTCATTATCGACATTGAACATCACCTGGGAACTGAAATGTGTCACCTGTACCTGTACTGGAGGTTCCAAATCAGTATTTGATGCCAGTTCCTATATCACAGCAGTTCATTGTTATCAGACCGTACTGCGGAATATGTCAGAGTGATATAACTCTATAATAATACTACTAATAATCATCATCATCATAGTGTGTGACCATGGGGGAACATTAGAGTGTGAGCTCCTCTGGTGCAGAGACTGATGTGACTGGCTCAGTGTTCCCTGTACAGCACTGCAATATATGTCAGAGCTATATAAATGTATAATAAAAATAGTGTGTGACTGTGATGGGGCCAGATTTCCCACAAGGCCAACCGAGGCCTGGCCTTGGGGCAGGAAGGAGCAGAGGAGCAGCAGGGGTGTGGAATTCTTTTCTCCAGGCACCAGGCGGGTAGTTTTTTGCACATTTAGCCCTGCTTTGGGCAAGCAGAGCTAAATGTAGAGCGGGGAAGCCGCTGCTCATTTTGTACAAGTGATCTTGGCAATATGGAGGAGATCAGTTGTATGCAGCCTGCAGGTCTGTCGTAGTAAAAAAAAAATGATAAAAAGTAAAAAGAATAAATAAAAATGTAAAAAAAAAAAAGTGATAAAAAAGTTAAAAAAATAAAGAAAACAAAATACTCCCAACCCTTGGGTTTGGTGGGGAGGGGGGCACATTGAGGAACCTGGCCTTGGGGCAGCAGAGAGAGTAAATCCGGCCCTGGGTGGGACATTAGAGTGTAAGCTCCTCTGGTGCAGAGACTGATGTGACTGGCTCAGTGTTCTCTGTACATCATTATGGAATATGTCAGCCCACCGATGCCCTCCCCCAGTAAAGAGGACCTGTTCTGCATTCAGACCCTGTTTGTCAGCAGCGATTCTTCAGTAGACCTAAAATCCTATGAAAGGTCCCAGAATGCACTGCGGCGGGTGACGTGTCATCATCTTAGGTCACTGTGAATAATCCCCCTGGAACACCTTCTAATTATACAGTTCGGGTTTCAGTCTACCCGCATTAAAAGAGCAAAGTGTCTGTTCTGCATATTATCCGGATTTGGCTGAGAATCCAAAAATCTCAGAACATCTCAGAACAACCATCTTATCCAAACAGCAAAACACAATAGAGGGGAGATTTGTGTAAAAAAAGTATTTGCCAGGTTTCAGCTGCAGTACATGGAGTATGTTATCATGGGAAGACACATGGAGGAAGTTTTTGGGGAACACACGTGGAGGATGTTATCAGGGTAAGACACGTGAAGGATGATAGTAAGGGGAGACACATTAAGGATGTCTGCAGGGGAAGACACATGGAGGATGTAAGCAGGGGAAGACATATGCAGGGTGTTAGCAGGGGAAGACATGTGGAGAATGTTAGTAGGGGAAGACACATGGAGGACGTAAGCATGGGAAGCACATGGGTGATGTCATCAGGGGAAGATATGTGGAGGATGTTAGCAGGGAAAAATACACGGAAATGTTTGCAGGGGAAGACACATGGAGGATGTTAACAGGGGAAGGCATGTGGAGGATGTCAGCAGGGGAAGACACATGGAAGATGTCATCAGGGGAAGACACGTAGAGGATATTAGCAGTGGTGGACCTACTACCTTTGATGCTGCACAGCAACCTTATAGGGCAAAGATGTCCATCAGGCAGGTACAGATACAGATAGAGCTCCCTGGGGCACCCGGTGATGGGCAGAGAGTAGAGTCCACACCACTTCCACTGCAGTAAATACACCGATCAGACATTATGACCACCCGCCTAATATTGAGCAGGTCCCACTTTTCCTGACCCATCAAACCATGGACTCCACTAGACCTCTGAAGGTATGCTGTAAGTTGCGAGGTGAGGCCTCCATGGATCAGACATGTTTTTCCAGCACATCCCACAGATGCTGATTGGATTGAGATCTGGAGATCTTGGAGGCCAATTCCACACCTCAAACTCGTTGTGTTCCTCAATCCATTCTTGAACCATTTTTGCAGGGAACATTATCCTGCTGATAGAGGCCACTGCCATCAGGGAATACCATTTCCATAAAGGGGTGTATTTGGTCAGCAACAATGTTTACCTAGGGGGTTCATGTCAAAGTAACATCCACATGAATAGCAGGGCCTGAGGTTTCCCAGCAGAACATTGCCCAAAGTATCACACCGCCTCCGCCAGCTGGCCGACCTCTCAGTGGTCATAATGTTATGGCTGATTGGTGTATATTGAATCGGATAACACTTATTGCATTATCATAAAGTCAGCGAAAAACTGTATATAGCCTGTCATTCCATCCTCTACTTTGGAGTATGACTGTCCATCCCCCTCCTCCCTGTCCTTCTCTACCTCCTGTTGGCTGCCTAAACACCTCCCCTCCAACTTTCAGTGACTGAAACATGTTAGCATGGCAGCATTGCAATGGGGTGGCTGATTTCTGAAGGATGAGTTCCGGGGGTAGGATGAGTTCTGAAGGTTGAGTTCTATGGGGTGGTGGATGAGTTCTGAAGGGTGAGTTCTATAGGGTGAATGAGTTCTGAAGGGTGAGGCCTATGGGGTGGCTGATTTCTGAAGGGTGAGTTCTATAGGGTGGATAAGTTCTGAAGGGCAAGTTCTATGGGGTGGGTGAGTTCTGAATGGTGAGTTCAATGGGGTGGGAGAGTTCTGAAGGGTGAGGTTTATGGGGTGGGTGAGTTCTGAAGGGTGAGGTCAATGGGGTGGCTGATTTCTGAAGGGTGAGTTCTATAGGGTGGGTGAGTTCTGAAGGGTGAGATCTATGAGGTGGATGAGTTCTGAAGGGTGAGATCTATGGGGTGGGTGAGTTCTGAAGTGTGAGTTCTATAGGGTGGATGAGTTCTGAAGGGTTAGATCTATGGGGTGGATGAGTTCTATAGAGTGAGTTCTATAGGGTGGGTGAGTTCTGAAGTGTGAGCTCTATAGGGTGGGTGAGTTCTGAAGGGTGAGATCTATGGGGCGGTTGAGTTCTGAAGAGTGAGTTCTATGGGGTGGATGAGTTCTGAAGGGTGAGCTCTATGGGGTGGATGAGTACTGAAGGGTGAGTTCTATAGGGTGGGTGAGTTCTGAAGTGAGTTCTATAGGGTGGGTGAGTTCTGAAGGGTGAGATCTATGGGGCGGTTGAGTTCTGAAGGGTGAGTTCTATACTTGTTTGGTGAAATCTGCAGAGTCTGTTTCAGTTGCAGCGTTTGTGGTGATTGCAATCAATCAGTTGTAGCAATCTGAGCTACTCGGGGTTAATCATAACTCCTGCATCACTAATCCTAAAATAATATGGAGATCTGTAATCAGCTGTGTCGCTCCCGCTGGTGAGAATCCAGGTAACAATGCCGGATTGTGAAATTAAAGTCCCTCTACAAATATTATTTTCCGGTAGAATGACGAGCTGCAGCTCCTGACACTCCCTGGAGCCCCCAGATGTCGTGTTTGTGGTCATAGGAAGACCCCATAAATCCTAATAGGAGTGTTTTGGTATATATCAATGCAGCACCAGGTACAGAGCACCGCACAGAGGGGACACAACTGGGAAGGCAACAGGAAATATATACTGGGCATTCCAAATACTTGGAAGAGATGGTGATGGGCAGAGTTCTGTATCCAACAGCAACTAATCAAATTTTGGTTTACTGAAGCCAGATTATTGAAGAAGGTTTATCATTGGTCAGTGATCTTTACACATTGCTGGGATGGCACACTCCAGACACATATCTGTCATGACAAAATACCGTTACAATGTGTATTTTATCTTTGGAATAAGTAACATTTTATCATGCGGTGCACTAAAAACATCCCATTTTGGAAGTTGGAATTATTCAGCCTGTACAGTCAATGTCATTAAATACAGAACTTTGTATTTAGGTCCCAAAATCCCCAAACAACTTGTTTCAATAGTTTATTTCTGTCTCTCACGTAACACCTTAACATAGGGACATTGAATGTGTTTGCAGCTCTGTTACGACATATATTACATGTTTGTAGTGCAGCTCCCCTTTAAGAAGGTGAATTGGATCTTGGAGGGGGCGTGGCTTCGCTCAGATACCTGCAATGACCTTTCTCACAAGAGAATTTTGGGATGGATATTAGACCCGGGTGTGTACAAGGTAAGTCAGATATTCCGTCATAATGGGGGGATTTTACATATAGAACTGTGTTATCTTAAATACATTCCCCCTCTCTGTCTGTCACTGAGATAGAAAGTGATGGGGGAAATCCAAAATCTCCGAGTTGTCCCCAGAACAAGAAGTGAGGGTAAATCTTCCTGCGGGGTCACCTTTTCCAGGGACAACTATCTAAGAGGGGAATTCCTTTACTCACACAAACATGTTTGGGCTTTACATGCACTTTAATATCTATTTACTGTATATTCGGAATCACAATCAGCTATTTTTGAAGCATTCACAACATGATAAAACGTTTGATATTGTGATAATCAATTGATATATTGGCTCTGAACGTTTCTATATTTGGTTTAAAATATTAGATGGCATTTAGGATAACTAGGTCAAAGATACATATTTGCATTTTTAGAGCTACAATGTTTATATAGAATCAAATCTTAGTTCATACTCATCATCGTATTCTATGTTCCATTATCAAACCCGTGACCTGAACAGTAGATTTATGGAATGATTGAAAGAAAGCAAAAGCTCAAATACTTTAATCTGGTTACTTCTGTTTACATGTTAGATAAGATTCAGGGCAGTTTGTACTCCAATTTCCCAAAAACATAAAAAAAATTAAAATTAAAAAGAGAAACATTACCTGCCTGGAAGGCCTATTGCAGGGAGAGGCAGCCTTAGGCGTGCGTATCAGGGCAGACATGCAACGTCATTTTCAGTGGAAACTGGAAGATCCTCATGTGGCATGCACAAAGGCTAGGACTGGCCCACTGTAGGGACTTTGACCCCTACAAATTTAGAGCCACAGCAGTTACTAAGCCTTGACTGCCCTTCTGCATCTGCAGCCCATCTATCTTCATGATTTTAAAGTGGTCTATATGACTGACATCCAGGTGCCGGCCCTCCTCCCAGTACCAGCATAGGTCTACCTGCGGCTGCTGTATTTTTTTTAAAACAAGTACCCTCTCCCTGCTCCTAATGAAACCAGCAGCTGCAGCGGGTATGAATATAAAACTTCTGCATTTCTGATGGTGCAGGAATAAAGGCTGATCTGAGATGCGACTGTGTCATAATTGGTGCTGGTCTGAGCTCTGAAGGTGCAGAAATTGGGGCTGATCTGAGGTCTGAAGTTATGGGAATTGGGGTGATCTGAGGACTGAAGGTATGGGAATTGGGGCTGATCAGAGGTCTGGTGGTATGGGAATTGGGGCTGATCGGAGGTCTGAGGGTATGGGAATTGGGGCTTATTGGAGTTCTGAAGATATGGGAATTGGGGTGATCTGAGGACTGAAGGTATGGGAATTGGGGTGATCTGAGGTCTGAAGGTATGCGAATTGGGTCTGATTGGAGTTCTGAAGTTATGGCAATTGGGGCTGATCGGAGGTCTGAAGTTATGGGAATTGGGGCTGATCGGATGTCTGAGGGTATGGGAATTGGGGTGATCTGAGGACTGAATGTATGGGAATTGGGGTTCTCTGAGGTCTAAAGGTATGGGAATTGGGGCTGATCGGAGGTCTGATGGTATGGGAAGCTGGGTGATCTGAGGACTGAAGGTATAGGAATTGGGGCTGATCGGAGGTCTGAGGGTATGGGAATTGGGGTGATCTGAGGACTGAATGTATGGGAATTGGGGTTCTCTGAGGTCTAAAGGTATGGGAATTGGGGCTGATCGGAGGTCTGAAGGTATAGGAATTGGGGCTGATCAGAGGTCTGATGGTATGGGAATTGGGGCTGATTGGAGGTCTGATGGTATGGGAATTGGGGCTGATCTGAGGTCTGAAGGTATAGGAATTGGTGCTGATCGGAGTTCTGATGATATGGGAATTGGGGCTGATCGGAGGTCTGAAGATATGGGAATTGGGGCTGATCGGAGGTCTGAGGGTATGCGAATTGGGGTGATCTGAGGACTGAATGTATGGGAATTGGGGTTCTCTGAGGTCTGAAGGTATGGGAATTGGGGCTGATCGGAGGTCTGAAGGTATAGGAATTGGGCCTGATCAGAGGTCTAATGGTATGGGAATTGGGGCTGATCTGAGGTCTGAAGGTATAGGAATTGGTGCTGATCGGAGTTCTGATGATATGGGAATTGGGGCTGATCGGAGGTCTGAAGGTATGGGAATTGGGGCTGATCTGAGGTCTGATGGTATGGGGGCTGATCTCTGAGGTCTGAAGGTATGGGAATTGGGGTGATCTGAGGTCTGAAGGTATGGGAATTGCAGGTGATCTGAGATATGATGGTATGGGAATTGAAGGTGATCGGAAGTCTGAAGGTGTTGGAATTGGGGCTGATCTGAGGTCTGGTTATGGGAATTGGGGTGATCTGAGGTCTGAAGGTATGGGAATTGCAGGTGATCTGAGATATGATGGTATGGGAATTGGAGGTGATCGGAAGTCTGAAGGTGTTGGAATTTGGACTCATCTGAGGTCTGGTTAAGGGAATTGGGGCTGATCTGAGATGTGAAGGTGCAGGAATTGGGGCTGATCTAATGTCTATGGTGAGCTATTGTTCTCTGGCCGGCTAGTAGTCTAATGCTTGTATAGTAACACGTAATGCAGAAAAAGGTGCTGACCCATGGCCAAATCTTGTATGGCCGAATCTATGCAAAGGGGCTGACTTACTAAAGAAATGTAGTGTTCACTTTGCAAAGCGATTGTTCACTTTCAAATATTGCATATTTGGTCTATTTCAATTATCAGCCATGGTTACTAAATCAAATCTAAATTGTTATTTTGTAACCTGTATAACTCCTCAGGCACCTGTGTATTGAGCACTGCAGATCAGTATACACCTTCGTCCTTTGTACATTGTCTTTATAAAGCTTGTTGTATTGTTTGTCTTTTCACAGTTCTTTGAATACAAAACAAGAAAATGTTTCAGGTCACACAGAAGATAACTGAGCCCCAGCTCACAAACTATGTGAACACCATGAAGCTGGAGGAGGTGACGCCTCGTGTTACTGAGTCCTCTAAGAGTAAGAGACAATCATGGGGTAACGTTCAGCTGCTGAGTATCTCATAGGCACAGGTTGTATGTTACATAAGGCAGTCCCAGGCTAGTGCCTAGAGGGGTCAGCAGCAAGCCTCAGAATTGACAAATGATGATAGTGTTTTCCTTATTTTGTATATTTTTCCTACTCATTTCCATCCACCTTAGTGGGATACAAGTGAGATAACAGTTGTGAAAAAGTTACAAAGAGATTCAACTGCCCTCCTAGCCCCAGCCTAAAAACTACTCTAGTGACAGGGTTATTCACTAAAGGGTGAAGAGTTTGGAGAAGGCAGGAGAAGTGAGCAATCTAGGACAACATAGCTGAACTGGAAAGTGAGCCGAGTTGGAGGATTTTCGCCAAATCAGCTCTGTTGTCCAAGATCATTCACTTCTCCTGCCTTCCCCAAACTCTTCGCCCTTTAGTGAATCACCCTGTAGATGTCTAATAGCAACCAATTATATTTAAGCCTACATGGGAAAATGACAGTTGTACAATGAAAGTTTGAACACGATCGGTTTATATGTTGCAATTCAGAATGTTCTTATAATAGACACAATGTTAAATAAAGGACATTAGTTAGAGTTAAAAAAAAAATCTCATCTTGTCTCCAGCTCCGAAGACGTTTTCTGTGGAAGAAGCTGTTGAAACCATCGGATTTGGCCGCTTTCATATTATGCTCTTTCTGATCATGGGCAGTACTGGGGTGAGTGAATTTCCTAACAGACGGAGGACAATGAGAACAGAATGAAACATAAAATGACTTTCTTTTAGTAGAAAAAGTATTGTTCTTTCTGCTCTTCCAATAGGTTGCAGTACATCAATCTAGCCTGCAGGGGTCAGTGTGCCCATTGTCATGCAAACAAAGGACTGGACCAATCACAGACATTAACAATTATTATTATCTAATAATAAAAATGTGTTTTCCCCTTTAATACATGCACTAAATGTTTGCCAGTCTCATCATCTTTGCTGCTGATGACATATTGCTTACAAGACTGTCTCATAGCTCCACAGGGCTCTGTAATATACATATATGATTGTTCTCCATGTTGGGTCATATCTTCTCCCCTCCCCTTAGATTGCAGAAGCCATGGAGATTATGCTCCTGGCCGTCATCTCCTCCTCCATCCGCTGCGAGTGGCACCTTCAGAGCTGGCAGGTGGCCCTTGTCACCACGGTGAGTTCACAGTAATGAATGGTTGGATATTTAAAGGGAAAATATCATAAGTTTAGGTTTATGCTTCTTTAATTGTTTTACGTTTATATATTATGACTTGTTTTATTACATCTATAAAATTGGTGATTTACAAGCATTTATTAAAGGGTGCACCCATGATACTGGATTCCCAGAGGACTATGTGTTTTCTAAAGGGAGGCTGCTTGCTTTCAAACTCTCCTTCTCTAAATGAAACCTCAGCCTGAGGTTTCTAAAGGGAGGGGGAGGAGTCGCTGCTGTGACTGGTTGACGTTTGTGTAAAATTCAGATTGAGCTCTGTAAGCAGATCAGTTAAGGGGAATATGGAAAACATGTAATAGGGAACCTACAGCACCTCCTGCTGGCTGGAAATGAGAACTGAAAAATCCACCCAGCGAACATAATCTTAGTAGGGTGATACCCTTCCATCATAAATGCAGAGTGATGATGGATGTATTATATTTTACACTGTTAGCACCGTTAGGTGGTGGATACTACGGTGTTCTTTTCATTGTAAACTTCTTTCTCATTGATATTTTGTATTTCTTAGTCCTATTTTTAGGGTGAATGCAAAATTCGTCTTCCTTGACCCCTTAACCCTCTTTTTTTTTTCCAGATGGTATTTTTCGGATACATGATATTCAGCATCGTCCTCGGGCTCCTCGCGGACCGATATGGACGGCTAAAGGTAAATCTGAAATGTTTTCATAAATGAGCCACACGGTGTTTGTTAAGTTACAAATATCAAAAATGAGAATTACAATTATATTAAACTGCAGTCTTAGGGTTCTATTCATAAACAATTTGCAGGGCCCTATCTGTGCACATTTGTTTTAGGTGAATAATGCAACAAAACTAACGTTCTAAAATATTTTTTCCAGTTGGAATGCAAAGGATACAAGTATTTATTTCATATTCTCGCCAGCTCCATCTAGTGGACAAAATGTAGTATTACAATGGATTCAAAATGATTTATAAATAGACCCCTTAGTAACAGCAGAATATTTCTAGGGTTCAGATATGTGGCATTTCCTAATTATCAGTCGAGCCCAAAATATAGATGTGGGGGGTAAAAATGACAGGCGATCTTTAAATGACAATTTGACCTCTCTTTCTTCAGATACTGGTGATCTCCTTCCTGTGGGGGGCGTACTTCTCCCTACTCACCTCCTTCGCCCCGTCGTACACCTGGTTTGTCTTCCTGAGATGTATGGTGGGCTGTGGAGTCTCTGGACATGCACAGGGGTACGAGAAAAATATTTAAATCTGGCAAAACTGAGTACATTCAGACTGATTGCTTTCAGTATCATCAGGACCAATTCTGGTTTATTATTTGCTTTGATTATTATTATGTTTCTTTATCATTTCCCATGTTCATATATCACTGACATATTATTTCATGTTTCTTTATCATTTCCCATGTTCATATATCACTGACATATTATTTCATGTTTCTTTATCATTTCCCATGTTTATATATCACTGACATATTATTTCATGTTTCTTTATCATTTCCCATGTTTATATATTACTTTGAATATTATTCACAGCCCCTGACCCTGGAGGAGCTCACAACCTAACGACCCCACCATACTCACACACACTATGGCTAGTTTGGTCAGTCGCCATTTAACCTTTCAGCTTCCAGGGGGTGGGAGCTCTGCCCTGGAGGGGTTTTTGGTTCCTTTAAAGTAGATGTAAACCCAATCACTAAAATCTTATATAAGCTTTTAATATGTCATTTCAAATGTTATTTTCAATATTTATAAATCAGCAGCTTTAATTAATGTAATCCCCGGTGATCCTGCCATGAAGGTACTTGCTCATGCACTTCCTGTTAAAAGGTGACAACACTCTGTCCCGGCCTCCTAATGTGATTCTGCTTTGCCAACGTGTCACACATTCTTCCAATGGAGACTAACAGTGGCTGTTTAAACACACATCACACAGGGATAGTCCACTGTTATCACATCTGGAAACATCTCCATTTCAAATGTTTATTTGGTTTTCTTTTTCCTTTCAGGCTCATAATTAAAACGGAATTTTTGCCCAAGACATTCCGCGGTTACATGCTTCCCCTGTCACAGGTAACACGGCACCATTATGATTCAGAAAACCCTTCAAGGAATTATTATTGATAATGGCCTTATGGAGATTTAGCGACTGTGGAATTCCAAATTTTGTAAATAGGCTGATTGCATGGGACAAAGAGCAAAATGTAACATACAGTAAACCCAATCAGCAGTCGATTCCATTGTTCCTCCTGATCTAAATAAGCAATAGATTCAATCTCATTGGTTGCAGTAGGCAACGTATCAGTCACGTTTTGAGTCAGAATGAATACATTCCTGACGCATCACAATATACAGCAGCAGTATCATTTATTAGAAATGCTCCACCTTTTATCATTAAAAAGCCATCGTTGATCTCCAGTAAGGGACTTTGCCTAGGCTGAGATGACGTCATCAGTCTGCTGCAGGCAGGAAAAGCATTTTGTCAGTCTCCTCTCACACCGGGGATCAGACTGCAACATTGTAACTTTGTAGTAAGAGAGAGAATTTAGCAAGGGCTGATCTGTGTCAGTTAGGCCTCATTCACATTGGGCGTACACGCCTGTAAACAGCCAATCCCGGGAAGGACAGGTGCTGTGTGTGATTGCGCCAGGAGGACGCCGATGTACGCTGTCATCCATGCGGGTACAGGTCCTCTCTGTGTTCAAGTGCGGACACCTGTACCCGCACGCATGTGCAGTTTGGGTGTCCCTTTGACACTGTACAGCCGCGTCCTCCCATAGGGAAGAACAGGCTGCTGCACTCAATCCCACCCACCACCTGTCCCTCCTGGGATCGGCTGTTTACTGGCATACACGCTGCACGAATGTGTACGCTCAGTGTGAATGAGGCCTTACTGTATTTGTTCTACCAGCAATAAAGTATAAGAAGCTTCGGCTGGGCATATAAACCACTTTTGCTTTGATAATTAGTTGATTTGTTCACACACAGACTGAATCTTACACAGGCCAGGGTGACCTTATAGAAACATACCTCATTATTAATGTCTTCCTTCTCTCCACAGCTCTTTTGGCTTGCCGGCTCCTTACTAATCATTGGCGTGGGATCGGTGGTCAACCCAACTTTAGGATGGCGCTGGCTTGTTCGTTTTGCATCCATCCCTGGCATCATACTCATCATTGTATTTAGAGTGAGAGCTTTATGGCACCTTCGGTTCTCAATGATGCACTAAGATACCATCATACAGAAGTAACACACAGAAGTGCAGAGGCATATTAGAAACCTCCAGGCCCTGGTGCAAGAAACCATCACCGGAGGGAGCTGCAGAGAGTTGGCCTGCTGCATGCTGGAAGCTGTAGTCCCAGGATGCAATGTCGGTGCCTCGGTGGGTTAACAGGGTCCTCTTCCTCCTGTCCGAGCCCCCCACAAGTGGCGGAACTAACAGAGTCGCAGCTGTGACTGGCCCCTGGCGTTCGGCCACTTGGGGGGTCCCGGACAGTAGGGCAAGGGCCCCTTTAACGGTCAAGGTGCTGACTTTGCCTCCTGGGACTACAGCTTCCAGCAGGCCAACTGTCCTCAGCTCCCTCCCACGGTGGTTGACATGGGAGTAGTATACAGGTGTAGGTGGGGTAGTTTGCATGGGGTGGGGAGATAACAGACATCGGTAAGTGATGGAAAAGGGGAGGGGGAATGAAGAAGACATAGTTGATACCCTCGGTACCTGCAGCACTCCGTCCTCCAGTTCTCTGTCCCTCTAGCCTGCTGATTCCAGCACCTCTCTCCAGATGCCACACTGCCTGGACCTCCAGTCCATATCTTGCACCACCCTCACCGCTTGTTGCATTGTCTGATGGGAAATGTAGTTCTCTGGCCAGCCACACCCCCCCTTTAAGGTGCATGGTCAAACTACAAGTCTCATGAGCCATTGCAAGGCTGACAGCCACAGGCATGACTCCCAGAGGCATGATGGGATTTGTAATTTTACCATAGCTGGATTGCCGAGGTTGCCCATCTTGTAATAGGTATTCATAGATACATGGTTTATTTTCCAGTTTGTCCCAGAGTCAGCGCGATTTAATGTCTCAGTTGGGAGGAAACAGGCCGCGATGGAGACCTTGACCTGGATTGCCAAAATAAACCGGTCAAAGATGCCAGAGGGAACCATCGATGAACCTGAAGTGGTAGGTCATGATTAGCATATTCTGGTTGATGCAACACAGTTTTAGCAAACATATATGACTCTATAAAGTGAAGAAACACATATTGAAATCCAGCCATAAGGGGAGGGGAAGACACTCTGGGCTGCCAGTTTGTGCTCCCGACTTTATGCTGACTAGTCAAAACAAAGATTTGCTTTAAAGGAGAACACATACCGGGTTCCCTCACCTCTCGATCCTGTCACGGCTCTCTGCCGTGACAGGGGGAGGGCCTGGATTCCCCGCTCCCCGCTCCGATCTGCCAGCGATGACTGGCGGAACGGACGGGGGAGGGGGCGGGTACAGCTGGATCTGCCTCTAGGTAGGTAGAGCCAGCTGTCACTCACGCAGCTGGGCGGATCCCGTCATCTACGTCGGGATCCGCTCCAGGTGCGGCGTCTCAGTATACCGCGAGCTGTAGCTCGCAGTATACTGAGCTTAGGGTAACGGGAGGACGCTAGTTTGTGTCCTCCCGTTACCCTAAGGAGAACTATGGGGAAAAACACTGACCCCATAGTTCTCCTTTAAGGTTACCTGGTGGATCCTGCTTGTGTTCCCAGATCCTACACACCCCTGGTTTGAGGGTCCAACACAAAGAACGGAAAACACCCAAACTCAAAGGTGGAAGGGAACACCAGCTGACCACATGTGTCTTTTCCAGATCCAGACAATTTAATGGTCAGAGCACACACCCCTGGTCACATTAACTGGACAGAACTGAATACCTTGTCTGGTCACTTTTGTCCCAAGCAAACACTAAGAGATATGTCCTCCTTAGTCCTTAGCATAAACATACATGACCAGGTGACCCAAGCAGGCATGCTTGTTTTCACAGCAATCTCCAGAGCGTGCCTTTATGTAGATGGCCTAAAATATGGAATATAACATGGGTGCAAAAATTGAAAAAAGGGCCTCAGTCATGAAGGGGTTAATGTCTATGGCCACTTTATGATAAGTAGTCCATGGTGCTGTAAGTCCACATGAAAGTGAGGCCTGATAGCAATACGGGACCAGAATCATCGCTGTTGGGTGCACTGTCCCTGTTATTAAAACAATGCACACTGTTCAGTTACACATCATATACCATTTTCTGGGAAAACCTTTCCAGATCTCAGCTAATGTCCTACTGCTTTATGGCCATCTATGGACTCATGTTTTGATGTCTTATTCAATGTTAACCTTTTCTTTTCTAGGGAAAAACTGGGAGCTTCTGTGACCTTTTGGACCGGAAATATCGACGAACATCTTTGCAGATATGGGTTATCTGGTAAATGATTCTTGTGCCCTTCAGTCCTGTAGAAACATAAGCTCATAAGCAACAATCGAGTGAAAATAGGAGTTTTTGCTTCATCAAAATGTTGCCTATAAATTGGGACATTTCAGAAAAATTTGGTCATTTTGGTAAAGTGCTTTGGAGACAATAGGGATAATGAAATTAAAAGAGAAATATGGGGGCAAGATAGACAGATAGACAGACAGACAGACAGACAGACAGATATACAGTATCTCACAGAAGTGAGTACATCCCTCACATTTTTGTAAATATTTATGATATCATTTCATGTGACGACACAGAAGAAATGACACTTTGCTACAATGTAAAGTAGTGAGTGTACAGCTTGTATATCAGTGTACATTTGCTGTCCCCTCAAAATAACTCAACACACAGCCATTAATGTCTAAACCGCTGGCAACAAAAGTGAGTACACCCCTAAGTGAAAATTTCCAAATTGGGCCCAATTAGACATTTTCCCTCCCTTGTGTCATGTGACTCGTTAGTGTTGCAAGGTCTCAGGTGTGAATGGGAAGCAGGTGTGTTAAATTTGGTGTTATCGCTCTCACTCTCTCATACTGGTCACTGTAAGTTCAACATGGCACCTCATAGCAAAGAACTCTCTGAGGATCTGAAAAAAAGAATTGTTGCTCTACATAAAGATGGCCTAGGCTATAAGAAGATTGCCAAGACGCTGAATCTGAGCTGCAGCACGGTGGCCAAGACCATACAGCGGTTTAACAGGACATGTTCCACTCAGAACAGGCCTCACCATGGTCGACCAAAGAAGTTGATCAGTGTTATATCCAGAGGTTGCCTTTGGGAAATAGACGTATGAGTGCTGCAAGCATTGTTGCAGAGGTTGAAGGGGTGGGGGGTCAGCCTGTCAGTGCTCATACCATACGCCGCACACTGCATCAAATTGGTCTGCATGGCTGTCGTCCCAGAAGGAAGCCTCTTCCAAAGATGATGCACAAGAAAGCCTGCAAACAGTTTGCTGAGGACAAGCAGACTAAGGACATGGATTACTGGAACCATGTTCTGTGGTCCGATGAGACCAAGATAAACTTATTTGGTTCAGAAGGTGTCAAGCGCGTGTGGCAGCAACCAGGTGAGGAGTACAAAGACAAGTGTGTCTTGCCTACAGTCAAGCATGGTGGTGGGAGTGTCATGGTCTGGGGCTGCATGAGTGCTGCCGGCACTGGGGAGCTACAGTTCATTGCGGGAACCATGAATGCCAACAAGTACTGTGACATACTGAAGCAGATCATGATCCCCTCCCTTTGGAGATTGGGCCGCAGGGCAGTATTCCAACATGATAACAACCCCAAACACACCTCCAAGATGACCACTGCCTTGCTAAAGAAGCTGAGGGTAAAGGTGATGGACAGGCCAAGCGTGTCTCCAGACCTAAACCCTATTAAGTATCTGTGGGGCATCCTCAAACGGAAGGTGGAGGAGCGCAAGGTCTCTAACATCCACCAGCTCAGTGATGTCGTCATGGAGTAGTGGAAGAAGACTCCAGTGGCAACCTGTGAAGCTCTGGTGAACTCTATGCCCAAGAGGGTTAAGGCAGTGCTGGAAAATAATGGTGGCCACACAAAATATTGACACCTTAGGCCCAATTTGGACATTTTCACTTAGGGGTGTACTCACTTTTGTTGCCAGCGGTTTAGACATTAATGGCTGTGTGTTGAGTTATTTTGAGGGGACAGCAAATGTACACTGATATACAAGCTGTACACTCACTACTTTACATTGTAGCCAAGTGTAATTTCTTCTGTGTCGTCACATGAAATGATATCAAATATTTACAAAAATGTTCATATACTGGCTGCTTATATGTTGGTCTGGGGAGTCCTAACGATTCCGTTTATGTCATTTTTCAGGCTTGGAATTTCATTTGCATATTATGGTGTCATTCTGGCCAGTTCGGAGCTCCTGGAGAGGAACCTTCTGTGTGGGTCGGGGAAGGTGGGTCTGGGTGCAGGAGAAGAGCCCTACGAGGGAACCCACAGTCCCTGTTTCTGCAGCATGCTGAGCTCCTCCGATTACCAAACCATGATCATTAGCACTGTGGGGGAGATTGCCTGTGAGTAGACAGTGTTACTTGTTATTGCCTTTGCTGGCACTGTTATCATATAATCAGCATATTCTATGATGTGTCTGTAATTGTCCCCCTACTCTTCTGAAAGTCTGAACAGGGCAAGAGATCTGATTGTAGCAATGTTCTCTGGTTTAGATGAGTTGTGTGGCTACATTACAGCTTCAGTCAGCCAATAGGTGCCTAGAGGTAACATCCTGCAACCCAGAGACTTGGTAACTGCCTGAGTCCCCAGAAGTTTCCCATTTATTCCTACAACCTAGAAGGCAAATATATGTTCTCTGAAATGCCTTGAGCATTGTGGGTGTAGGAAGTCATTATAGATTGCATACAGCCTACTGTTCTTAGCCCTATAGACCTTATTAGTGAGATAAGAAGATCAGTAAGGCTCAATTTCCCCATCTACACTGTTTGAACACCGCCAGGCTATTGTATGCAGACAGCAGCATACCAGCCTGGTGCTCATTGGCTGGAGTCACTGGTTGAGAATTTTCGGACTGGCTCCTCCAACAAATTTTGACTGGAAAATTGACTTTTGTTGAATGGAGAAGTGCCGACGGGGCCACACACTGGTCAAATTTTGGCTGAGTCAGCAGGATTTGGTGAAATTCAACAAGTGTATGGCCACCTTTAGAAGCAGAGTTTATCTAATGAGCAAATATGGCTAATGGTAGATATATAAAGAACAGTTTTATAAGATTCACATTTAGCTGATCTTCAGCCTAAAAATATTAACAGTTATTCACAAAAGGGTGAATAGTTTGGAGAAGGTCGAAGTGAACAATTTAGGACAACATTGCTGATTTTCTAATTCAGCTTACTTTCCAGGTCAGCTATGTTGTTCTAGATTGTTCCCTTCTACTGGCTTCTCCAAACTCTTCACCCTGTAGTGAATAACCCTGTAAATCTGCTATAGGTCTTCTGTAAGTCTTCCCTGTAGGACATAGGTCATAGTACCTAGGACACAGGTCTGCATGTTGTATAGTAGATATGTTATGTACAGAACAAAGTTGCAGATTAATAAACAGTTCATTGCCATTTCAGTAAATCCTTTCAACATCCTGGGTATTAATTTTCTTGGTCGACGCTGGACACTTGGCATCACCATGGCGACCACTGGCGTCTTCTTCTTGCTTCTCAACATTTGCATGTCAAGGTAACATCGGGAACGTCATTATGAGCAATTTTAAAAACACACAGTGTAAGGCCCGGCCTCCAGTTTAGAAGCCTATAGTGAACACTGACAATTTAGGTGGCACACAGGCAGCGGACAGACTATCATGACCATCAGACCTTCAATTAACTTCTGCAAATATTGCATCAAGTACTTGAAGAAACTTTCCAACATGGAATTCAACATTCAGATAAACGTCACACAAACCACTCTCACTGGCAGATAAAAAAACAAGAATATAATGGAATGATTGCACAGCCAGACCGTGGAAACCTTTCTTCTTGGTTTATTAAACGTATCAAAGGATACAGCTCTTACATGCTTCACGCTGACAAACACTTTGTGCTTACAAGCAAAAACTCTGAGAAAACTCTTGTAAGCGTATTTTGTGCCATTTCATAAATTAAGAACGTTTTCCACAATTTAGTTGGTAATTGACTCCTATATTTTTTTTAATGGGTTGGGGAAAAAAAAGCTTCTTTTTACCTTTTCTGGGCATGCCTCAGGGCCCCTCTCAGGTCACCTGCCATCTTGTTAATGAAATTTGTCAGAACCATATTGTATAAACGTATGCATACTGTGGTGGGGGGATGCACTTAGCAGAACAATACATTGTATGTAAATCAGACAATGTAACTATTGTGATAATAATTGTCTAATTGGTTTTGTTCTGCCTCAATCCTCAGTACGGGCCTCATTGGAATTCTATTCTGCCTTCGAGCTCTGGTATCTGCAAACTTCAACACCATCTACATCTACACAGCAGAGGTGGGTACGAGATCCAAAATGTCAAGATTTATCCCATCTACAGTCCCATTCACTGTAGAAGACTCATAGACTGAATGAGCAGGAGAGCAGTTGTTGGGAGTTGAGAACACACAAAGACAATAAGGTTGGCTTTATTAGAAATTCTTCTGTAATTGGCTGAAATTACAAGTTGTCCTCCCTCTCCATGGTTCCAGGATCTGTCCCTGCCCACCTGGCAGTTTAGCATGTTCTTTTCCATGTTGGGCACCAGCTGTCAGGGTAGAAACCCGTCATTATGGCCGTGCCAGGCTTGCAGACTGGAGAAGTCAGGCACAATGCTCTACGCAAGATCAAAATAAAAATGTTAAATAGCTTTAAGTGGTTTAACCCTCAAGCATCCACCAGACACTAAAGAACCAGAATTGGGTGAACTTTTTGAGCCTTTAACAGCCACATACATTTGCATCTTCCTGCAGGTTTATCCAACTGTGATGAGAGCAATTGGAATGGGCACAAGCGGGTCACTGTGCCGCATAGGAGCCATGGCAGCACCATTCATCGCCCAGGTAAACAATTCTACACTTATAGTAGCTTAAGTTGCTTTCATTAAAGCGGTGTGCCTTAATACAAAACATGTCAAGTTCTGCTGAATCCTGGAGTGTGGTGTTCTTTATAAATGCTACAAGTGGTAGTAGCAGAAACAAACCACTGCCTAGCACCCAGTAGGCAGATGCAGAGTGTGGAGCTACACTGGACCTAGAGCAGTACTGAAGCAGACACAACCAGGGAAGAAACATGTGCAGAATGAGAAGTCAGTACATGCAGCTTGCATGGAAAGGTTTCCATTATTCTTCCCAATTCTATGGTTTCTACTAAACCAGTGGTTCTCAACCTGTGTTACCTCAGGACCCACATTTATCCTCGGTCATTAAGTTGCGACCCAAGTTGCACTGCAATTGAAAGCAGGGCATTGCGGTACCGCGTTTACGGCGATTGAGCTGTGGACGGGAGATGTTTGGGGTACCATTCAAATGAATGGCAACACAATGCACCTCCCACACCAGAATGCGTAGTAGGAGCGATTGCATGGTACAGTGCGTTAATCACACAGGACTGTTGTGAATGGGACCTCAGAAACACTGACACACACACTTTTTTTTTTAAGATCCACCCAGTCTCCCTACCTTACGAGATCCTCAGCCTGGGGTCCAGTGTGGGCTGTGGTGCTGTGCCGTAGCTCCATCCATAGGTGTATTGCTTGTACAACTCCCTTGAGCACCCTGTAGAGGTGTCGGGAGCCAGAACATTATGTCACTCCAGTCCAGGCACCTCTATAGGACACGTGAGGAAGCTGTAAGCAATGCATGTATGGATAGGGCTCCCTTGCGGCTATAGCGCCAGCCCACCTCAAGCTGACACTCAGTGCCGAGCAGCATATGAATGGTTGCTTGGCGCAAGAACTGACAGTGCTGTGCTAGGAGGAGGCCGAGGAGCCTCTCACCTAGAAAAGTGAAATGCATGTGAGCGACCCACTAAACACGGGGCCGCAACCTACTTTTGGGTCAAAACCCACCAGTTGAGATTTTACACAGAAAAGTATTCTGAAAAATTAAACTGTAACCTCTATCCTGCAGGTTTTACTGAGTGCCTCCATTATAGGCGCCCTCTGCCTGTTTTCTGCCGTGTGCTTTATCTGCGCAATCTCAGCATTCACTCTGCCCATCGAGACCAAAGGACGAGCACTGCAGGTAAGCCCGAAACTTCCTGGACTAGCACTCCGCAGCTTTAGATGTTATTTCTGTTAATAGTATCTTTTTTCTGCTCAGACGATTCTCCAGATACTACAGACTCCCAGTTTCTAAATTTAAAGTGACACTAAAGTCAGGCGTTAAACCTTGAAAAATGCATTCAAGTACCTGAACTATTAAAATTACAATCTACAAACACATACTTCTAGATAATTGCCGGCTTTGTATTCTTTGCATATCTTATTTCTCTTTTCTTCCCCAGTCTTCTCACAGTGGCCATTTTAACTAAGGGCAGATGAATCCATCTCCCTTTACTTCCTGGAACTCTGGCATGTATGACTAGGACATGTGACCATGCACATCATCTCAGGGGAGGAAAATGCCTTTCCCCGAGATCTCGTGAGATTACAGATGAGATTTCCCAGCAACGCTCTGCTGATGTAATCTTCCCAGAATGCATTGCTCGGGAATAATGAGATTTGTGCCAAAGTGGACCAGGAACTGGATGAATTCTATTTGAAAGTAAATGAAAAACATGTTTGTTTAATGAATGCAACATGATTCTATATCAGCATGCAGAGCTGCATGCTGATGTGATTTTTAGTGAAAGGGGGGTAAAGGTCCACTCGAACAAAAATGTATCTTATTTGTATATCACTCGGCTGTAGATCCTGAAATCATCTCTGGATTGGTGCCGACACTGTCCTTCCTTCTGGAGGGAGGGTGGCTACTTTTGTTCCCCATGTTCCCTGTGTGTGTTGTAAAGTAGTCACTGATCCATGCTCACTCCCAGGATGGACTACACTCTCATTACAAATTGGTAAACTAAACATGAGATTGTAGTCCATCACAGGAGTGAGCTTGGAGCGGTGACTACTTTACAACACACACAGCGACCATGAGGAACAGAAATAGCCCCCCTCCAGAAGGAAGGACAGTGTCAGCACCAATTCAGAGATGATCTCAGGATCTACAGCCGAGTGTTACACAAATAAGATACATTTTTGTTAATAGTTAGGGTACTTGAATGTATTTTTAAGAACTTCCGAGCTTTAGTGCCACTTTAAAGAACCTTTAGCAGTCCTTTGGCCATTTTGAAAAAGAAAGACAACTGGGTGAGGTGGAGGTCAGAAATCCCACAATTCAGTTTTTCTGGTGGATATCTGGATCCGTCTATACATACATGCATGAGATGGACAGTGAACATGCACCTCTAGAGAGATGCTCCCACTGATTTTTCCACAGAAACTTTCCAAAATGGTTGATGACCGCAATAGAGCTCTCTGGAACAACCAGAACACGCTCCAATGGTGGCCATACATTGTACGATTTTCATTCGGAAATCGTACACGAACAGTCTTTCGAACGAAAATGGAACAGTTGATGGTACATCATGATTTTCATTTTTGATATTGTGATTAAAATTGTTCGATCAGTCAGGTTAGAAAATGTATCTGACCAAAAAACAAACAATTGGATGAATCAGAGGGGTTTTTGTTGGTCAAAAATTCTTAGCAAGAACACTGCACATGTGCAAAAGGAGTTTATTTCCGTTGTACATCAAAAATTGTTTGGTTAGTGTGGCTAACGAATGATTTCAGAAATAGACATTGGACTTTTCTTGATTGGGTATTCGAGCTATAAATCAAACGGGGGTTCGTGGCAGAAATGACAATTTTTCCATCCAAAATCTACTAGTGTTGTAGATTTGAAAACTTGTTTGATTTTTCTGAACATATGAAAGGAGTGTGAAAAGTGCCTTTAACTGTTGAATTGGTAATGTAACTAGACTGACCCAGAAACTGGATTTTTTAATTTGAGTAGATTACTGTAATATATTCCAATTACCAACAGAAAATCTCTGAAACCTCATGAATTTCTCTCATTACAGCAAGGTAAATGAAGGCAACGTAGAGGAGAAGCTTTTATTACGAGGATTAAAGAGCAATGCTATCCGGGTTTAGATTGAAGTCCTGAATTTTATTAGACAAATGTAAGATCTGCCATAAATAAAATAAAAAAAAACATTGGACAATCATAAAAAAACTAGCCCACTAGTGAAATAAATAAAATGCTTTATAAAAACAAAACAGGTAGGAGGATGAATTTGGATGTCTGGATATAATGTTATGTTTGAAGAGAAACAGTTTAATAAAATATATTAAGCATTGGAAGATTGATGACGGTACTGTGGTCCAAGCAGCTACACTATGTGGACACTTGACCATCAACCCCCCATAGGAGCTTGTTGGACATCTTATTCCAAACCCTCAGCCATCACTATGGAGTTGGCCCCCTTTTGTGGCTGTAACAACCTTGCACTTTTCTGGGGGGGCTTTCCATGAGATTGTGGAGTGCGTCTGTGGGAATTTGTGAGGTTGGGTACTGACGGAAGAGAAGACCTGGGGCTGCAATCAGCGTTTCAATTGATTCCAAATTTGTTCAGCAGGGTTGAGGTCGGGGCTCTGGGCAGGGCACCCAAGTTCCTTCTCACCAAACTATTGCTTCACTTTTATATGGCCAAAAACTTGTGGAAACCTAACCATCTGTATGATCTTAAAAGGACATCCTATTCCAAAACCATGGCCAATAATATAGAGTTCCACCCATCCTTTTCCTTTATGGCTATAATGGACCCCAGTCTTCTGGGAAGGCTTTCCACAAGATTTTGGGGGTCTTTGGGAATTTGGTGCCATTTGTGAGTTCAGGTACTGATGTTGGATTAGAAGACCTGGCTCACAATCGGCTTTCCAACTCATCCCAAAAAGGTGTTCAAGTAGGGTTGAGGTCAAGGCTCGGTGCAGGACACTTGTGTTCCTCCACACCAAACTGGTAAAACCATGTCTATATGGAGCTGGCTTTGTACACAGGGGACAGTCGTGGTGGAACAGAAAATGGCCTACAACAAACGGTTACCACAAGGTTGGAAGAGCACAATTGTCTAAAATGTCTCTGTAGGCGAAGAGTACCCTTCACTGTAGCCACCAGAACTCGGTCATCTGGAGTAGGGTCCACATAATGTCAGCATATAGAGCAGTGGTTCTCAACCTGTGGAACCTCAGGACCCACATTTGTCCTTGGTCATTCAGTCACGACTAAAGTCGCACTGCAATGGAGAGCACGAGAACTGGAGTGGATCCTCAGCCTGGGGTCCAGTGTGGACTGCTGTGCTGTAACGGAGCTCCATCCATATGTGCATTGCTTGGTGTGCATATGTCCATATGTGCGATTGTTGGTATGATAGTAGGCGATAGTTTGTCCTCTCAGGTAAGAGGGAACATTTGTCTGACAAATTTGTTTATATCCTTTAAATGATTCCTAATAATGTTCTCCCCATCACAGTCTAATGTTTACCTCCTGGAGTCTGCTCAGTACATTGTTTTATTTCCCTCCTCTCAGTAAAATAGTGATGAGCAATGCTATCCGGGTTTAGATTGAAGTCCTGAATTTTATTAGACAAATGTAAGATCTGCCATAAATAAAATAAAAAAAAACATTGGACAATCATAAAAAAACTAGCCCACTAGTGAAATAAATAAAATGCTTTATAAAAACAAAACAGGTAGGAGGATGAATTTGGATGTCTGGATATAATGTTATGTTTGAAGAGAAACAGTTTAATAAAATATATTAAGCATTGGAAGATTGATGACGGTACTGTGGTCCAAGCAGCTACACTATGTGGACACTTGACCATCAACCCCCCATAGGAGCTTGTTGGACATCTTATTCCAAACCCTCAGCCATCACTATGGAGTTGGCCCCCTTTTGTGGCTGTAACAACCTTGCACTTTTCTGGGGGGGCTTTCCATGAGATTGTGGAGTGCGTCTGTGGGAATTTGTGAGGTTGGGTACTGACGGAAGAGAAGACCTGGGGCTGCAATCAGCGTTTCAATTGATTCCAAATTTGTTCAGCAGGGTTGAGGTCGGGGCTCTGGGCAGGGCACCCAAGTTCCTTCTCACCAAACTATTGCTTCACTTTTATATGGCCAAAAACTTGTGGAAACCTAACCATCTGTATGATCTTAAAAGGACATCCTATTCCAAAACCATGGCCAATAATATAGAGTTCCACCCATCCTTTTCCTTTATGGCTATAATGGACCCCAGTCTTCTGGGAAGGCTTTCCACAAGATTTTGGGGGTCTTTGGGAATTTGGTGCCATTTGTGAGTTCAGGTACTGATGTTGGATTAGAAGACCTGGCTCACAATCGGCTTTCCAACTCATCCCAAAAAGGTGTTCAAGTAGGGTTGAGGTCAAGGCTCGGTGCAGGACACTTGTGTTCCTCCACACCAAACTGGTAAAACCATGTCTATATGGAGCTGGCTTTGTACACAGGGGACAGTCGTGGTGGAACAGAAAATGGCCTACAACAAACGGTTACCACAAGGTTGGAAGAGCACAATTGTCTAAAATGTCTCTGTAGGCGAAGAGTACCCTTCACTGTAGCCACCAGAACTCGGTCATCTGGAGTAGGGTCCACATAATGTCAGCATATAGAGCAGTGGTTCTCAACCTGTGGAACCTCAGGACCCACATTTGTCCTTGGTCATTCAGTCACGACTAAAGTCGCACTGCAATGGAGAGCACGAGAACTGGAGTGGATCCTCAGCCTGGGGTCCAGTGTGGACTGCTGTGCTGTAACGGAGCTCCATCCATATGTGCATTGCTTGGTGTGCATATGTCCATATGTGCGATTGTTGGTATGATAGTAGGCGATAGTTTGTCCTCTCAGGTAAGAGGGAACATTTGTCTGACAAATTTGTTTATATCCTTTAAATGATTCCTAATAATGTTCTCCCCATCACAGTCTAATGTTTACCTCCTGGAGTCTGCTCAGTACATTGTTTTATTTCCCTCCTCTCAGTAAAATAGTGAGACCAACATCTAGAGTTTGGAAACATTTCCACCGTGCAACGGCAGCTGAGAGCAAAAGCGGCAAATTGCAAATATAAAAAAACATTTACAAAGCTAGGTTTACTGAATAAGCTGGACTTTTATTTCAAGCATAATACTTTTATATACGCTACATTTCACCTTCCTAGTGTGACAAAATGATTGTCAATTTGTAAAAATACTCCACACTGACTTTTTTTTTTTCAATTTTCCCGCAAAATTATAATTTTTTTCTGAAAAAAAAAAAAAAAAATTCTCATGGCTTCAAAATTCCCAGAAATGTTACATCAAGGCACTCATCAGGAGGTACAGTACTACGAACGTCGGCGCGAGCACAGTAGCATTACAATTTCCGGGAATTTTGAAGCCATGAGAAAAAACTTTTTCCCCCCGGGAAAAATTGCAGAAAAACAAAAAATCAGTGTGGAGTATTTTTACAAATTGAAAGTCATTTTGTTACACTAGGAACGTGAAATGCAGCATATAAAAAGTATTATGCTTGAAATAAAAAATTAAGCTTATTCAGTAAACAAAACTAGCTTTTAACATTTTATTTTATATCTGCAAATTGCCGCTTTGCTCTCAGCAGACGCTGCACTGTGCAAATGTTTCCAAACTCCAGATGTTGGTCTCACCATGTTACTGAGAGGAGGAAAAAAACTATTTTATTTTACTGTTGTGTGTATATATGTGGTCTCTTTCTAATACCTTTTTCTGTATATTTTCTGCACCGTTTCTTTTATTAAAGGACGATCTTAAAAAATCGTTAAGCTTATCGCTACGTTCTAAATAAGAACTCAAAGTCTCCTTGCCTCTGTGAAGAGTGCTACTGTATAGTAAATCCTGTCTGAGAGGACAGCGGTATCACAGCCATTGTTTAGGTGTTTAAATTGTCACAGCATTTGCTGGGCACGGTCTGTGTTTCCGTTACGTCTGCTGGCCTGAGATTGTGTCCCGCGAGCTGGGGAATCTCTATGCAGGGTGAAGCCGAGTGGTATAGTCACGTCCTTGTGACGCTCACGCTCGGTTCAGACTTGTGTATAGTGATGTGGGATTGACGTACAGCGGGTTTGGGCCGGGCGTACGTCACATATTGGTACTCCAAAGACATGCTGGTAGGTTAATTGGCTGTCTGAATTGGTCCTGTATGTATGCGAGATGGGGGACCTTAGAGATTGTGAGCTCCTTGATGGTGGGGACGGATGTGACTGTGCAACTATGTAAAGTGCTGCGTAAATTGTCGCCGTTCTATAAATACCTGTAATAAAGAAATAAATTTGCTGAGCAGACCGTACGCAAGTAGGAATTGTACGTAACTCGGATGTTCCTAACTCGGGGACTGCCTGTATATTTATTCATGAACAATGGAAGTCCCTACATCCTGTTCCTGAAATATTCGTGATGACATGATACCCTAAGGCTGCCATTCTCCGCAGCAATCCTGCAACACGGATACAATTTCAGTCACAAACAACTGTCCAAACACAAAAGACAAACCACAGACACAGATTGTAAGTTTGTTTTTTTTTATTTTGAAGGGGGAAAATAAGTTAGCATGAGTGAGAGGCAAAGGCATTTTTTAGAACTAAATTATGGACCCAAAATAACACTATTGTATCTCCTCAAGGAGTAACTTTGGAGCTTTTTTTTTTTTTTTTTTTCCCCCATTTAATGTGTGCTGACCTAAGGTCTCACACACACACGCACACACAGCTTATTACGCAGGAGACAAGTTTAAACACTTGCTTTAAAGTTAAAGAAACCTGATTAGAAAAATAGCAACCTATTCTGAAAGGAGGAAGAGTTTGTCTAGAGTCCGTCCATCCTATAATCCTCCTGCACAGGAATGCACTTTCGTACGCTGCCCCCCCCCGTTAGTGTTATCACTCCTTGATGTGCGATCGACTTCACAAAATAAAATGATCAGTTGAGTCCTCGGATTATAAAACACACGGCAAACACAAAAATCTATTTAAAAAGAAGAACAAGCAATAGTGTGTTTTAAAACAAAAAAGAGAACTCAACTCGAAATCAAATCGGCTTCAGCAACTTGCCAACCCCATTGCCTCGTGTCTTAAAAGATGAGCGTCGATTAAACATTTTAACAGCACAATCGGTTTATTTATTTTTTTCCTGAAAACTGGAAATAAACGGACCCAACGGTAGAAATAGTGAGGGAGGAACTACATCAAAACTCTGGACATGACCCCGTGTTGTTTAATACTGTATCACAAAACGGTGCCAACTTGTCCTGAACGGCAGACAAACAAGGTGGCATATAAACTGGTTGGAGTTGAATAAATCAAAAGGAAAATCTCACATCGGTCTCTAAAGAGACAAATCTCATTTGGTGTGAAATGGCGCTGCGACAGTGTGAGGCCAACAAACAAATTCCACCCAGATACCATCTAGGCAAAACAAGTTGATAGCGGAATTTGGAGTAACGTTTCTTTCTTATAGCAGTCGAAGGATCAGCTGCGTCTTCAGGACAGCGAGAATAAAACATCATCCAGAACTGAGGCCAATAATAGAATTAGTAGGTCAGTAAATTAAGGAGAGAGTATATAAGTCCCGGTGTGCGCATTTCTACACTCGTGAGGATTCCGATCCCTCCCGACGTCAGCAACTGTCATTTCACAGGGGAGCGCCGACACAACGCAACACGCTGAGGCCTGAAGGGAAAGAGTCACAGGCTCACAGCCAGTCCACAAATAGTTCTAAACAGCTAAAAGGTATTGTCTGTACACGGCTTCCCACAAAGAAGTTCATCTGAAAAACATCCGTTCGTCCCCTTTTCTTTTTTTCCGCGGTTGAACACATTCGTCATCGGAGCCCTCGCTCTCTTCGCAGTTGTCCTTCTGCACGATTTTGGGGAAACTTTTGTCCTGATAGATCTTATTTAGCAGCTCTTCAAAGTACGCCTCAAGTTTAATGCCTGCGTTCGCCACGTCCGAGTCAGGCTGTATGAAAAAAAACCATTGCCGGTTTGAAAAAAAGGAACAATTCACTCAATTCACTAAAAACTCTTAAAAGGAGAACTATGAGGTGATAGTTCACTGAGACTGTCACAGGTCGGCTCAGTAGATCGGGAGGTGAGCGAACACATACCGGGTTCGCTCGCCTCTCGATCCTGTCACGGCTCTCTGCCGTGACAGGGGGAGGGGCTGGATTCCCCTCTCCCATCTGCCAGCGCTGACTGGCTGAACGGACGGGGGAGGGGGCGGGTACAGCTGGTCACTCACGCAGCTGGGCGGATATCGTCATCTAAGTCGTGATCCGCTCCGGCGTCTCAGTATACCGTATACTGAGCTCAGTATTGTATACTGAGCTTAGGGTAACAGGAGGACGCTAGTTTGTGTCCTCCCGTTACCCTAAGGAGAACTATGGGGAAAAACACTGACCCCATAGTTCTCCTTTAAAGGGTACCTATGGTTGAAAACTGAAAAAGAAATCTGTATTCCTATATTACATTTCCATAAGTTCGATCCCGCTCCTAGCAATTATATCGATCTAAAAGATTGTAAACTTATTCATTGAAGTCGTCCATAGGTTGTACTTCCTCAATGCACTGATGCAATTTCATGCACCCTGTGAATATGCACTATATGAACTACAACTCAACGTCTGAACAATGTAACATTATCATCGCTTGCTGCAATAAAGACCTTGGCAGCTCCTGTGAGGAGGTCTCGAGGCAAAAATAATTTCTTCACTCATACAGAAGGTAATGTAATAAAAATAAATGGGTGTGTGCCTATAAAAACAATCAACAAGTTTAACACATCTCAAATGTCATCTTTGCGAGTGTTGTCATTTCCCTGAAGTCGATAATCTAGATTCAAACCTATCCTGAAAAATAAAGTTTGAACTCCTAGGTACGGATCTCACTGGGGGCTGCGGGGAAGAAGCAGAGTGGACAGACTTACACAAGAATCTTAGAAAAGACGCCAATCTCACCTCATTGAATTCTGCACAGTTCTTGAAAATCAGGCGAATGTCGCTCACAAACTCTTCCGGGTGCGAGTAGTGAGGAGAACCGTTCAGTTGAAGTTTTCTCTTTATGTGTGACAAGTCCATTGGCCATTTTATAATTTTATAGTAGTCGGGCACCTTGAAGAAAAACAATTAAAAAAGGACCTGAAGTAAAAAAGACCCCCAAGCATTAAATATAAAAAGCATAACGGATTGTTCAGTTTGTTTGTTTTTTTAGTGCATTCCCTGAGCAGTAGTCACGTCTCTGCCCCACCTACAAGATTTACTGTACTTCCATAATAAGGGTGCGACTCTGGCATGGCTGGACTGCCCAATTATTTATATGTAGAAGTCCACCCTGAAACGGTGACACCATCATTTTGCTTTGTAACATCTGTCCAACTTGTGCTGAGAATTCTGCTGTGGAAATCTCCGCTCTGAAGTCTCTAAGGGACACACACCAGCCAGTATGAGATTCTACTTTGTAGAGGTTTGTGTAGATGGGCGTTTCTGCACAACTACACAGATTAAGCCGGCGTCAGTTATCCTCATACTGCTTGATCCTAAAAGAACTTCACTTGGGGGCAACCCTCTCAGTATCACCCAGGGGGGTCTTGAAGTTCATCTAGAAATATAGAAAACAAGAAAAGTTTCCTGGTTGTGAAATATTTATTAAAAATGATGAAGTGATTAAAACATGCCTGAAAACACGTCAGAATTGACGGCAAAATATCATCCATCAGACCCTCCAAAGTCTCATCATCAGGTCACAATGAGCCACATAGAGAAATAAAGAATCCTCCTCCTGCTCTGATGTAGGGGGTGCTAATCCCCGAAAGTGTAAGCGCATACTACACCACGGATCTGTCCAGTGATGGTGGATGATTCTTCGTTTCTCATTGTGACCTGATGTTGAGACCTTGGAGGGTCTGATGGATATTTTGCTGTCACTGCTGACGTGTTGGTGGGTATGTTTTAATCACTTCATTATTTTGTCTTTTCTGCCCGTGCGTGCCCGCTAGGGGGCGCGCGCGAGCAGAAAAAAATTGCCGTCTGGAGACTGCAACCCTCAGATGCAGCAGTGCCGTCCGTCCGTTTTTTTACTACGGGCGGACGGCAAGAGGTTAAAGAATATTTCCCAAACAGGAGCCTTTATTGTTTTTCTATACGGGCATTTGTCAAATGTTACCTTCATCATTTAAACACAGAGCTCCTGAAACACAAACACAGGAAAGGACTGCTACTGACCTGCAATGCCAACACTGCTCTACAGGACTGTCTGCATCCAGAGAAGTGTAAAGCATCAAGGTAAATGGGAATTTAAATTTACATTGTGTCGAACCAAAACAAACAACTTCAGTCTACAAAAACCCTAAGGATAGGACAGGACACAGACACAGACACACACTTTTAAAAAATCCATATACAATTGTGATCTATTGTGCTGCAAAAAAACTGGGGAAAAAAAAGGGGGAGGAAGATGTCAAATGATGGTACTCACAGTGAGGGGAACCGGGTCTTGGAAGGCCAGACTTATCTCCTGACAGAAGAGGTATAAGAGAACTCTTTCACACTTCTGGAAAAAAAAAGAGTTTACAGATTAGGACACAAGCTTGAGGATTCCAGTACACTGCAGCCTGACTACTATTGATACATTGCTACAAGCTAATGTGTCTGTGGCACTGTCAGATCATCTGGGACCATAGAAACTTCTGAACACTTTTGTTCACCCAGTTCTATTAAAAAGGGAAACTCCAGAAAAATCTGTAATAAGCTCCAATAGCTTGCCCCCTACCTGGCAGGCTGTCCAGGACGTGTTCCCTTCCCTGGCAGGCCATCCAGGGCAAGCCGTTCCCCTCCCTAGTAGATCAGGCGACGCGGTGGCAGTGCCGCGCCCCCCCCCTTTATCATACAGGCACATTTACCCTCTGGTCCATTGGTGCCATTAAAGTGGCACCCCCCAGCTTCAGTTTCTCTGCCAGAGATGGGTCATCACAGTCATATTCCACTTCAGGTTTGGAAAGATCTCGGCAAAAAGTGCAGATCCATTCACCGCTATGAGAAAAAGAACAAAAAATGAAGTGAGCAATTTTTATAGAGTTACAATCAGGAGACAAGCCACAAAAACAACTCTGTCATATAATTAGTAGAGATGCACCGATACCAAGTACCATACTCGGTACAAGTACAGATACTTTGAGCTCCAAGACTAGAGAAAAATGCAAAGTTAGGAGGCAGCTGTCATTGTTAAGGAGCACACAGAGCTTGGGATTTGTACATCTGTTTAAATGTATTAGTTTGGTTTTATAAATATATATAAGTGTTGCACCGATACCATTTTTCCAAGTACAAGTACTGATGCATGCCCAAGTACTCACAGATAAATTTTTATTTATTGTCATGTGACAGTTTCTAAAACAATGCAGAGTAATGATTTCAGGACAGTGGTGGAGAGCCAGAGCCCGGTCTCAGCTGCAACCTCTGCCACCCTAGTATCGGCGCTGGTATCTGAAAAGTATCGGTGCATCTCTACTAAAATATAATTTCACTTTAGCTGAGGGTTGTACAATGACATTCTATCCAGGACAAGAGGATACAGAGGAGGCAATAAAGGGCTGGGCCTTCTCACCAACCTGCTGTAATAAACTGACACATGGGAACAGTCTCTGGACAGAGCTGCTGGTTGCTGATAGCTGATGAGAGTTTGAAGTTGACTGGTGGATGCTGAGATAGACAGTTCTGTTAAGTTACTATAAATGAGGCCCAGGGCTGGCCTTAGGGGTGTGCGAGCCGTGGCCGCACAGGGCGCCTAAAGGCCTAAGGCCGGCCCTGATGAGGCCCAATGAATGTGATGCTTCTGCCAGTTTAGTCATAAACCAGTAAACTGTAATTAGCTACAGAATCCAATGTGCTCATTGCACCTCACCACCCCGGATTGTTCCTTACCTGGGGAAGTTCATTAGTGTTGGCACATGGCAGGAGAGGTGAAAAACTTTGGGGCACTTTTCACAGCACAGTAGCTCGCCTCCGTTCTGACACACCGCGCACCAATCTTCATTAGGGTCATCCTCCTTCCCGCCACTTTCGGTCACCTGATCCTGGGAGCCCCAGTCATTGGCTCGCTGGTACAAACTCTGATGCATAACATGTCGGTCGCCGGTACTATCAGGAGTGTCCCTTCTCGGTGCAAAGTCTGGTTTGGTAGTGCGATTGGCATTTCGATCGAGAAGCATGGATGTTAAAATGCTGTTTCCAGAGTATTGAGGCTACGGGGAAAGACAAACGATTATTACATAGACAAAACAGAAGTGACAGAGGCATCAAAGAAAAAAAAAAAGCAAAAAGCACTATTTGTGGATTGCAAAAGGCACTTCCGTACATCACTATTCTTCCAGCGTGACCCCCCGGACAATGCCGATTCCCCCAAATCTTGCGAGAAGATGCTCCAATAAAAGCCCGGATCACAAGATCAGGAATATGAGGGGAGGCCAATAAGTTCTTACCCTCACCATGATCCAGATGTGCTAGGGATCTGACATTTTGCAGGTTTATTAGGTGGATATCTTCGTAATATGCATGCCAATTTTTGTAGGTCGTGGTGAATTGTACTCAACATTCGAGGATCTTACCAGCACTGAGATGTCACACCGGTGTAGGGCAGAAGCCGAGGGTAAGGCAAGTATATTCACTAATTTTTATCCTTTCAAACTTTTATGCTGCCATTTATATAAAAAGAAAAAAAAAAAGAAGAACAAGAAGGTGGCTGAGATTTACTAAGCTATCTTTGCCAACATTCCACCTTAAGCGACTTTAGTTGCTCCTCCTTTTAGAGATATCCTGCTTTGTAGTAAGACCGCGCTATTCCTGCCAAGTATAAAAGGGCCCACCTGTGTCATTCCAGGAGGTCCCAATGCTAAATCAAGAAGCAGCAGAATGATCTCACAGACCACCAGGAGCGTGCATCACAAGAATGGATGACCACAATTACAAATCTAGCAGGTGAGCATATGTATTTTATCCTTGTTTTTAGACATTTGGTTGAAGTCCCAGTTTAAAGGCACAAGCAGAGGTGTCGGGGAAAACAGATTTGAAGATTGCCAAGATCACAGAGTTGTTTTTCTTTAAAGATGTATAAAGGAATGAATGGGAAGTAGACAGCTCATCAACAAATCTGCTATAGAGAGGCCCCGAGGTGGTTGGAGAAGAATGGGAGACATAAGCTGGGTCAAAGTCAATGTGTGTGTCTATACCTCATGTCACCATCCAAACATGTATCAATAATTTCAGAAGTGGATATCCCATCTGTTCACACTGTGCAGCTGTACAAAGGCGCCATAGAACTTGTGGACCTCATTAGCTCTAGATTTTGGTCAGGCAGTGGTGGTACCCCCTCTGCATGTCACACAGATGTGGACAGTGTTCACTTTTATTTTAGATTGGATGAGAAACGGGAGGTATCACTATTCATTAGGCACTTACTGTTCTCCTGGTTACAAACACCAAAAAGATATGAGACAGAAAGCACCTCATTCCTATGGGACCAGCGCTGGAGACATGCAGATTCTCAGTTTTCGCACCATCAGACCATTTTGACTAATCGATCCCAGTTGTAAGATAATGCGCCTTCAGGCCATTGCAAAGGCTACTATTGGTCAGTAACGGATTAGGTGGCTTCTGTCTGCTGCTAATTCACATAAAGCCAGATCTACAGTTCTTAAAAATAAGCCCACAGAATATCCACCTCAGCATCACTTACATTCCTAGGACGCTGCTGTGGGCGTTGGTTGCCTTGTTTTACCACCACCACAGGGTATTCAAGGGAGTCGCTGTCAGTGTTGTTCTCTGGTTTGATCCGGATAGGTTCCAGGCGGACAACTGGAATTTTGTGGGTGGAGTCGGCTCCTCCGCTCGGTTTGCTGGAAGATCCAGAACTGAGGAGGGGTTGATATAAACATGAGATTCAATGACGCAAGAACAGTAAATTACACCCAGTCTACACTAGAGCCAAATACTGTGGACAGTTTGCTGAAGCAATTCTTATAGGTGTTAACTAGGCCTCCCCAGCAGACTTCCAGTGGCAGTATAACGCTATGGGTCACCATGGGTGGGTATTAATTACCGTTCAGCAAAGAAAAGGCATGCAGAGCACCAGCTTGCCAAATAAAATATATTCCACACACTTCACAACCTTTAAGTGGCTTTTAAACCTCTTAACTCTCCCTTAGTACAGAAAATGCTGGCTTTGAATGTAGTTTTGTCATTAGTGAATTTCATTAAAAAACACAAATTACCTTCCTCGGCTGCCCACACTGGACGCGCTTGAAGAACGGATTGGAGGATGAACACCTGCCAAGGAACCTGTATTAGCAGAAAACAGACACTAATGTGACGCATTCCTTACTGCTTGCCACTAGCAAAATGTGCAGCACAAAAGTTCAGGTTTTAGCACCAGAAACAATATATGGATTGAGTTACAGGTGTTGAGTGGAATTTGTAAGTTCAACCATTATGCAATGCATAAGCTCAAGCAGATACAGATCAAGAGCTTCACTTACTGTTCACCTCAAACACTAGAATGGAGGAAAAATGTGATCTCAGTGATTGTGACATGAAATTGGGTACCAGATAGTCTGGTTTATGCATTTCTGTAACTGTTGGTCTCCTGGAATTTTTGTCTGTACAGTTTATTCAGAATGGTGCAAAAAACAAGGCTGCTCTGCAGATGGAAATGCCTCGTTTATGAGAGAGGCAACAGGGGAAGGGCCAGATTGATTGGAGCTAACAGAAAGGCTACAGTGACACAGATAACTCTTGTAAACCTGCCGAGTAGAAGAGCATCTCAGAAGGAACGACATGTGGAACCTTGAGGCGGACAGGCTACAACAGATAAATACCATGCCGGGTTCCTGCTAGCCAAGTACAGAAAGCTGAGGGATGCAGTCGGCACAGGATCTGGTCTAATGAATTTTGATTTGTGCTGAAGGGCGTCCGGACACACACACACACACGAGATCTGAATCCAATAGAACACTTTTGGGATGTGATAGAATGGGAGACTGACAACATGCATGTGCAGCAGACAAATCTGCAGAAATCGCATGATGCAATTGTACCATCATGGAGTAAAATTTCACACAATGTTTGTGGAATGAGGAATTTATGTCTCAAAGATTTGATGGTGGACTGACCCAGTACTGGTATAGTGTTCCTAAAAATATTTGGTGAGTTTATGTATTTCAGCTGTCTATTCAGCTGTTTTTTTACCCAATTCCATAATACAGTCCAAGTACAAAACCTATATCATGGTTATATGTTACTGGAAAAAGAAAAAAAAAAAATTGTGGCACACCTATTGGAGAAGGCACAGAGGAGTTTGGCGATTGGACGGTTCGGTGAGCCATCATTCTCTGATGGTGGTTGTCCATTCTACCATCTTTCCGCATCATCTTGTCCACCATAATGTTATCTGTACTGTCGATCTGTGAATAATGAAACATCTCGTTTGGTGAATTCAGCTTTTCAGAAGTTCAACTTATACTTCATGGATGTGATTGTAGGAAGTGCCAGGATGTCATACTTACATCGGGCAGCGGTGGGAGGTTAAAGGAATTGGCAGCCGAAGACACCAACTCGATAACAGGGGAAGGGAAGACCTTTCCGTCACCTCCGGCCACACTGGTGATTGTTGGGCTGGACGGAGTAAGGGAGTTCCCAGCGCCTGAGTTGACCATGGTTTGGTTTCCAGCGACTTGCCACTTCGGGATAATGATATATTAGATAGATTACTATAAGAAACAACTACATGTCATAGCAGTTGAAAAAAAATACATAAAATCAGTAATTCGCACTTAGTGAACTCAACACCCAACACATCTCGCAATGGTGTCTGTGCTTTAAAGTGACGTTAAAGTCAACATGTTTTTAAGCCATTTCAAATGCTAATTAAAATCACTTACAATGAATTCTGCTCCATAAAAGGTTCAAAAGTTTTAGTTAACTGCAGGATCAGCTGGTCCCCCGAGCACTGGCCCCGATTTCATGTTTTAGGGCGGCTACGCTCAGAGCCACCCATGCGTGTCTCCACAAACACGCAGGTACAGCACGCCAATCCACTCCCCTGCTCCTCCCTTCACCAAGATAATAGATGGACAGATGCTGGATACTGTGGTGTCCCTTGTGATCTTGTACTCAAATAGGGGGTTTAAGGAAGCAGAGCTGAGAGAGTTGGAGCGGTTTGGGAACATGGTGGCTAAAAGCAAATTTGTTTGATCTGGATTATTATTAAAAAAAAAAAGTGTGTTTAATACTACTTTAACTGAATATGTGCAAATTTGAGCTGCTATTTTGCTCTCAGTAACCAATCCGATGTGTCCCCTCATTCTCTCACACGGTCTCTATATGGAGTCATTTGGAGTACATACCTGCTTCATGGCATGTTGGGGCACATAGGTCACTCTAATAGGATTGGGTCCCCCAGGTCTCCTGGGCATGTTCTGCATATGAATTTCCTGTTGAGGAGGTGCGTTGTGCGGGAATCGGACCTGCTGATTGGATAGTACCATGCCGTTGGCCCGCGGATTGACATTTTGGATATTCACAAACCGTTGGACCTGCTGAAAAAAACCAGACTAGATTCAGTCATTCACATCTAACATTTCTGTTCATGGAGAAGACCTGGTCAACTGTGACAGAGGAGATGCAGCCATGTACACACAAAAAAAAACTGTCAAAAGCTTTTTTTTAAAAAGAAGCTAATTTGTTAAAAACCATAAAGTAGTCTCTTCAACCTTTACTGAAAAGAAAAATATTTGCATTATATAAAAAACTCCATCAACAGTATTAGATCTGCTTCTTACCTGATTGCCAGGTTGTGGCGGCTGTTGGATGGGTCCTTGTACTCTCGGGTTGTTCATGCCCACAGGCTGTGGTGGGACATTGGCACTGGGACGGCGTTGTGCCTGCTGCTGGCGCTGAGCGAGGAGCTGCTGGTGCATGTGTTGGAGGCGGAGCTGCGCCAGGCTGATCTGGGATGGGAATTTGGACAGCTGGTTGCTGGGTGCTGTGCCATGAGTGTTTTTACCATCTGTAAGAGCTGTCTGCTGTGCTGGATCTCCCTCTTCAATCACCAGTGACCCTACATCAATGCCAGAAACTCATTAGGAGTGATTCTTTAAAGTTGTAAAACAGAGTATTTTACTGGTTTGGTAGTAAATCCATGACTACAACCCCCAACATTGTTTTATATTCTAGCAAGCTCCAAAACAATGCAATGTCCTCACACACATTAGGCATAGAAAAGCTTTCAAAACTGCAATCCACACACACACACACACACTTTCAAAAATGCAAAGGGATCACACAAACATATGTATAGAAATGTTGCCACAGTCTCTGCCCCTCCCACAATTGTGATCTTTCCAAGCAGTAGTTTGTGTCTCTGCCCCTCCCACAATGGTGAGATTTCCCCGCAGTAGTTTGTGTCGCTGCCCCTCCCACAATGGTGAGATTTGCCTGCAGTAGTTTGTGCCTCTGCCCCTCCCACAATGGTGAGATTTCCCTGCAGTGGTCACACATGAATATAGAGGACTTGTATACCTAGGCTAAAGATATGCTGTGCCCAGGAATTTGCATCACACAAAAATTGGACACGACTGGTCACAGGAACCACATCCCAATGGGCGCGAAGCAAATGTTTGAGGCGAAAGGTAATCTAAAAAAAAGGAGGGGAGGGAAACAAAAAGAATTTTTGTTGAGAGCATGAACACAAATCTACACTCTTACCTGATTTTGATATACATACAAAATGTATAAGACATCAGAAACCAATCTAATCTAAATGACGGCTTTCTTTGAAGGGGTCCACAGGAATTTTGTCTGAATTTAGCTACAATGTAATATTTAGACATTACGGAATCCTAATGGAGAAAAGAGCGCCTGAAATCTGCGCCATATAAAATAATCATTTGGAATATTCAACGCTGATCCATAAAGAACCAAAGACTGAGATTCAATGTATAAATGGAAAGCTTTCTAAGGCACATAAATAAGGCAATCGCAGCCAGGAAATAAGAGCCTTCTTGTTCTGACATCATCCAGGCTCACTATACATTTCCTGGACTATGATACCAGCAGAGATGACGCTATCATGTAAATCCTGGTGCCTGTTCAGTTCTTAGCTGTGTTCAGTGTCTGAGAAATCAGCCCCTGTGGCAACCTCTCAACTTTGTACAGTAACTTTGTAGCATGTCAATTATGCAGTTTGGTCGCTGGAGGAGAGGAGACTAAGCAAATGCTTCCTCCTGCCTGCAAAAGACTGACATTTTAGCCCAGGTACAGTCACTAACTGCCACCCAAAGATGGCTTTTTAATAAGCTAAAAAAATAAATAAATTATATGTTGTAGAATAATGTGACATGCAAACTTCAAAGTACTGACAGGTGCCCCTTTAACATACAGTAGGGGGAATTTATCAAAACTGGTTGCAGTGCAAATCTGCTCCAATCAGCTTCTCCGTCTCATTTTCATATCTTACCTGAGCAAACTGAAGAGAAATGCTGATTGGCTGCCATGGGCAACTGTTCCACATTCTGTCTGCTCCAGTTTTGATAAATTCCCCCAGTGTTGGATACAGATTTTGTTACCTGGTGCTATGATTTTCTACAATTGAATTTTGTAAGTAAAATAGTTGCCATTTAAACACTTACAAGCCGCTTGCTGTAGAGTAATGCCGTGCTGCTTCCGCTGGACACAGCCCACTTGGAGAAGTACACCACATGTTCCAGCTGTTTGGAGAAACCTTCCACTTCGTTCTTTTGCTTCAGGAGCTTTGTGCGCTGATCCGTTGCCAGGGTCTGCGATGGAAAGCAAAAAGGAAGACCATTACTTCTGATATTTTTTCCATTGTATATATTTATGGGGTCAGCTATTAAGAGAGGATTTGAAAATACGCGTAGCATCTCATCACTGTACTAAGGGCTTGTTCACACCGAAAGCGTGTGCGTTCCAGAGCGGTAGCTGCTGGAACGCACCGCGATCGCTAAGAAAATGCTCCCCGCGTCATCGGGCGTGGCGGTGCATTTAATTCCATGGCACAGCTTCCACGACCCCTCCCCGCAGTGCAATCGGACGCGTGGCAAAACTTTGCCTTGCCTCCTTTCCATGGCAAACGCCAAAAATAGAGCAAGCCTATTTTTTGCGTTTTGCAGTGGAACGGAGGCAAAGTTTTGCCAGGCGTCCGATCGCACTGCGGGCGGGGCATGGAAGTGGTGCCGTGGAATTCAATGCACCGCCACACCCCCTCCCGCCCCAGAACGCGGGGAGCATTTTCTTAGCGATCGCTGTGAACAAGGCTAAAGAATCAGTTCAACCAAATGCAATGTTTTTGGCACAAGCAGAGCCCTGTGAACTTAGTACCAAGGTCTTTCCATAATAGCTCAAATAGGATATAGGCGGCCCTCACATTTAGAGGTTTGATCACAACCTTCAGACTAAGCCAGCCTTAAAACCCAACACCAGGCACAATACACTCAATGCAGTGCATTACGTTCTAGAGGCCTTTTTCTGTAAACTTGCATGCTGTAATGAGATATACCACCATTTCCACTCAAATCCTAAGTATCCTACTAGTTATAGTCGGGCTCCCGCTGAACTCCCATGCCCACTCCGACTGTAGCACTGCAGGTCTCAGACCTCCGCATTATGGTCACATCTCTGTCCCCCTCTACTCCCGGACCATCACAAAATGGAGCCTGGGGCTGACCAGGAAGAGAGAGAGGATGCAAATGCAGTGCTGAGGTTTATAAGAGCAGACACAGAAGTTCAGTGGAAAGGGGACTTCCACCCGCAGGTTAATACTTAATTTGTGGGGAGATGGAGGGAAATCTGATCATGGCATGCAAGTTTACAGCAAAGAGCTCTACAGCCTGTGCCCGGAGTTGGGCTTAAACATCTCATCCTGGATTCTGGTCTGCCCTTTCCTCCAAGACCATGTGACCAAACACCTTTGCAGATGTCCCTTAAACAGCCACAGTGGCAGCACAGTACACAGTATTCTCTATCAGATTAAACAAAAAAAAATAAAAAAACTATGTAAAAAAAATGAAACGGCGGGAACTATTTAATGCACAATTACAATTTTGACTTGCAGCATCATGCTCTATGAACGGATTTATGCTGAGCGAGCGAATCTGGATCCACATATTTTAAAAAAGGCCAGATTTCAATTCAGACTCTCAGAATGTTAGTAATCAAAAATATTACTAACAAAATTCCAACTGTTTACAAGCATATTTATATAGCTCTGACATATTCCACAGTGCTGTTCAGCGAACACTAATCTATTCAGATCAGTCTCTGCATCAGAGGTGCATATACTCTAGTGCTCCCCCTCCCCAACAGTCAGGGGAACACTCTCACCAAAATCGCAAGTCAACCGAGGGTCCGTTGACTTGCAATTGTACCTTCCAATCCCTTTTTCAATGGAGGATAATAGAAGGGCACTGAAAAATGACTGGGGCTAGTTCATTACGGATTCGTGACATTACGCTGAAAAAAGTAGTGCATGCTCTACTTTTTTTCAGCACAACGTAACGCAATAGAACGGAGCAGTGTGAACGAGGCTCCATTCACTTTTTGATGCCCTTCCATTTCCAATGCAATGGATCCAGAGTAAATGGGTCCCTCAGAGGTTCACGTAGTATCTAGCTACTTAACATTAGTACAAAATGGTCAGTAACAAATTGTTTTAGGACTCTGTTACAATAACAAATACATGTTTTACCTCCAATTGATTAAGTAGAGCCTTCCCTTTCTTATTGATTTCCACCATAAGGGTAAAGATGGCTACTTTAATGTCTTGCTCCACCTGTTTTTGGTTCTGATTAACTTCAAGGATTCTGCAGTAGTAAGGGGGGAAAAAAAAAAAGTTAGTGAACATTTTTGCTGCAGAAAATCTGTCAAGGTTGAAGCATATTCTAATGAAATGAACGGCCTTGTGTACACAGAGCGGAGGACATCGGGAAGTAAATGAATAGATCAGCTTTGGAAGACAGGAGACTGCAATGCAGCTGGGTAATGGAATCGCTTCGAGGATGCAATCTGCATATTAATCCTGCCGGCAATACAGTCAGTATAACCTTAAACAGGGGTCGTGCCATTCCAACTTGGGGGATCGCATTTGCATGCAGAAATTATTTTTTGCGTAAACAGAAACAAGCAAGCAACTGCCAATTCCAGCAAGATAACCCTGCAACTGTTAAAGGCAAAAAGCTATTCCAATTTACATAAATTGGCCCCCCGTAAGAGGCCGATTTATCATGGACAGTGGACACTAATAATGAATACTCCACACTGTGCCTTCATGTTACATTTCATTCATAAAATGCAGAGCGAGATGTGCTATTGAGTGTTCACTGTATAGTGCTGCCGGAGCACTATGGTATAGAAGACATTTGGTCACGCAAGCTAGCAAAATCATTCGACTGGTTTCCTCCTTCTCAAGTCACTTTTTTTTACCAAAGTATCTGAGCAAAAAGAAGAACATAAAAAACCCAAAAAACAAAAGTAGCGTATTTTTCGCTCCATAAGACGCACTTTTTTCCCCCCAAAAGGAGGGGAAAAAAGTGTGCGTCTTATGGTGCGAATCCCTATCGCCCGACGCCCAGGACATGCAGTTTCGGGCGCCAGGTGAGTAGTTTTTTTGTACATTTAGCGGTGCTCCGGACAAGCAGAGCTAAATGTACAGCAGTGGGAGCCGCTGCTCGTTTAATACAAGCGATCTAATTATAATTAGATCACTTGTATCAAATCGAGCAGCGGCAAAAATGTCCGCTCCTTTGGGGGACCTGTGACCACGGCATAGGAGCTCACCATAGAGCCCCTAGAGCAGGCGAACAACGTCCATTCTTCGTCTGCTCTGTATGATTACCGAGACCGTGGCGGTGTAATCACAGCGCCATCTGTCTCAGCTGTGACTAACTACAGCTGTCACAGAACCCCTGCGTCCTATAGTCTGGAGCGCCTTATAGAGCGCAAAATACGGTACATCTCTCCAAATTCTTGTTTACCCTGAAAGAGATCCAGTGTGCTCCTACAATTCTGTAGTAAGCATGGCCTTTGCTGCACTGAAATGTCAAGCAGTGTTGTGAGCCCTTCCCAGTTCTCTTTTGGACTATAGAACTCCTCCTCACAAAGATGAGGAGATGCTATAAAGAGGAAAAGAGGAGGTAATTTGTAGTCCAGCAGAAGACAACCGGGTAGGACTGACAGCAGAGCTTGTAATTGCAATGCAGCAGAGGCTGCTCACAACAGGAACTTAGGAGCTTATAGGATTGCTGGCAAAACTACTTTTCTGTAGCTGAAGCATATTTAAAAAGCAACCACAAGGGGAAATGTGCATGCATGGCAGAGATTAACTGAATATGTTATTTCAGTGTAAGCACAAAGGGACTCCGGAAGTCTGAAGTTCTAGTACGGGTTGGTTCAGGAGCCAGTCTATCCAATCCAGAATGTTTTTTTTGTTAAGGAGCCAGCTCCATATACAACTAAAGAAAACCTAAAAGTTAGGCGCCAGCTGTCATTTTTAAGGAGCATTGCTTTTTTGGCTCTTGGGATTTGTCCATCCCTGTTCTAATACATGTTCTGCATAATGGACCAAGCTTCTACCTTACTTACAAATGTTAGGCCTACGTGGTAAGAGGGCTCCGATTTTGAATGCTGAGAAGTGACGATGCCTTGTGTACTTACCGATTCTGAATTTGGTCTCCAGTAAACTTTATGTACTTGTTCTTTTCCATTAACTTAGATATCAGCGTGTCAATGATCACCTTCTGGCTCTGAAAAGCTTCTTCAATAAACTGGTACCTGAAATAGAAAAGTTCGTGATTTGAAGTTTGCAGTTTCTGAAGAACTGTCATGTTCAGCCAGGGGCAGCTCAGACATGAAAAACGTGCACAAGGATAGGCAATTATCCCCTAACAGGGTGATTCACAAAAGGGTGAAGAGTTGAGAGGGCAGGAGAAGTAAACTATATAGGACAAAATAAGAGATCGGAAAAATTCTCCAATTCCGCTCACTTTTCAGCTCAGCTATGTTGCTGAACAATGTGAACAATCTAGGACAACATAGCTGAGCTGGTAAAAGGGGAATTGGAGAATCTTTCCAAAATCTCTTTTGTCCTAGATCGTTCACAAAAGGGTGAAGAGCTTGGAGAAGGCAGGAGAGTGTCATTATCAGAGAAATATTTGAGCATCTATGAACATTATTTGGCTTCAAGAGAAACCAATTCATCAGCGGCATAGAAAAGGTTTCTTCACTTAAGCTGGGGTGTCTGTGACAAAGCAGTGAGTCAATGTAAACAGAACTATCTGTCCGTCCATCAGATCTGTCCGATTAAGATAGATAGGACAGATCTGACGGGCCGCCCGTCACATCCGTCCAATTTATCTTAATTGGGCAGATCTGACGGACGGATCTGACGGACGGCAGGGCGGACGGGCAGATTTGACGGACGGGTGGGCAGATCTGACGGACGGACAAATCTGACCCCCCCCCCCCTTAAATGCATTATACAAAACACGGACAGCTGCCCCTCTGGGATTTGTTCTGCATGGTTGACCAGCCACATTAGAACAGGCTAATAAAACTTTAGTCTTTTCCCCCAAAAATGACATACTATGCTCTCATTGGTGCAGCACCAGTCCATACCTGTGCTCTTTGTGCTCTTGCAGCTGGCAGTCCCGACATGTCAATTTGTCGCAGGTTTCACAGTAAAGTTTCAGCTGCTCCTTTTTGTGGAACGGACAAAAAACCGGACGCTGACTGTTGCCGCCAACTTCTATAAAGATACAAGTCAGTATGTAAAATAAGTCCGTATTGTATTTGAGCACACATAATTAACTGCACAAACCCACGCTGATAGAGATAATGCAGAAAGAATAGGAACTACTAAAGTGTTGGACGGCATCAAGCAGCACCTATGGAGAAAAAGCTGTTTAGGAGCCTTCGCTCCTGGCTGTCTTACCGCCTGCACTGAGGTTTCTGGTGTTCCCCAACATGCTGGGTGTTGCCCCTCCTCTTGTTGCATATCAATAAACACAAAAAAAACAAACGTTTTTTGGAGTTTAAAAAAGGGACACAGGATCAGAAGTAAATCAGACAACTGGGTTACACTGCTGCCTTAAGAAACCGGACGCTGGCAAAAAAAAAAAAAAGCCACTGGATAGCCTGGTATAAGCCCTACCACTTCCGTCATGCTTCAGTTTCTTTGCTGGTTTCATAGAAAGCAGAAAACAGGATTTTTTGCACTTGCTGGTACACAGGTCCCACTGTGGTTGTGATCTACTTCTAATACTGATTTTCTACAAACCTGAAGCATGGAGGTGGGCCGGGGAAAAACCTTCAACTAGCCAAACTCCGTAGGAATTTTTCACCCTGTACACAAGCATACTAGGCACACACCATAGGCTGCGCCACCACCCTGGACCTGCAAAGCATAGTGTACAGCAAACCAGTACACTAGTTGTCTGGGGACTCAGTACCAGAGGAGTCACATTACTGAAAAGCCCCACAATCTTTGCTTCAGCAGGGTCCGAGCACAGACTCCGGAGGTGGAGCAGAGGAGTAGCTGATCCAGATAACTGCTCAACAGCCCAGAAGTAGAACAATGGAGACTTGATTAAAAGAGATTTTAATACATCAGAGACATTAAAAGTCAGGTAAAATGGTTAAACGTTTCTCCATCTAGGAGAAACAAAAAAGTACAGAATTTAAAAAAAACCTAGAGGTGCACCGAAATGGACATTTTCAAACCGAAAAACATTTTTTCAAATGTTTTAAATATTTTATATTTCTATTAATTCAATTAAATATTTTTATTTTTTACTTTTAGGGGCTTCAGGGAAATATTAGGAGTCACAGACCCCCAATATTTCCCTTTTAAAATAGAAAGAGATTGAGGACACAAAGTCCGCAATCTCTTTTTCTGCAGCCCCTGTTATCAAGGAACAGGAATCCTCTATACTGAGTGTTCCTGTTCAATCATAACATGGAGGACAGAGTATGGTTACTATAACTACAACTATGAATGAGCAGGAGGTGATGTAGATCACTTCCCATTCATGCATAATTGAGGATATAGTAACCATACCATGTCCTCAATTATCTACACACACTCAGCGATCACGGATCACGGACTGTTTGTACCACTCTCCTTCCTGACACAATGTCACAGGAGGCTGAGCGAGCGGTGCAGGGAGGAGAGCCAAGCCTCCTGTGACAGCGCAGCCTGTCTCCCCCCCCCACACCGCTCTGCTGGACTGCTATAGGAGGCTGAGCGGTGTGGGAGGAGACGCCAGCCGCTCAAAGCGCTCTCCTCCCGCAGCGCTCGGCTATCACAGTTTCTCGCCTCCCAGCTGGGACACAGAGCAGGAGGAAAGAAAGCATGGATGCACCGCTGTATCAGCAGGAAAATTGCACTTTCGGCATTATGCCAAAAGTGCCTTTTTCGGCCAATATGTTTCGGCGGCCGACAGATCGGTGCATCCCTATAAAAAAAACAAAAGACTATTCCATTTGTAAATAACTTTGCAATGCGTAGTACCATTGTTGTAGTTTTAAACAGGACAAATTATAGAATATAAATTTATATTTTATCTACAGTATCCGTCCGTTTTTCTACTACGGGCGGACGGCAACTGGTTAAACAGTGAGAAAAAAAAGAAAAAAGTAGGTTATTCGCTTTGTTGCCTAAGGACTGCATAAAAAAATAATAATTTCTAAGACCGGATCATTAAAAAAATGGTTTGTCTAAACAAAAAATATAAATTTTTGGCTGAACAAACAAGCCGATAGCAGTAAAAATTGCTCTGATCCTTATGGGTGAAAAGGTGTGAGCTAAAGTGGTTAGTTAACCCTGTAAAGGAAATGTCAGGCGTCACAGAATATAATGATGAGTCACTCACCAGGCGGCACCTCCTCCTTCTGGCGCACAGTGTGGTCTTTGGTGAACTTTACCCTCTGATGGGCCTGGATGCAGTTTTTGCACAGCCATTCCACACACTCTACACAGAAGCCACGAGCCTCCGCGTTGTCCTCACAGCTTGTGCAAGCTTGCTAAAGAGAGAAAAATAAAATACCCGATCTGAGAACGGACTTCTGAATACCGCAAAGATATGAAAGCTTTCAGATGGTCACCGCCGTGTGATGAATGGTTGAGTTTCAGCATCTGCATAGGGTGCACACAACAGAGCTCTGGGGCTCCCAGGTAGTCAAACCAGGTTCACACAGACAGAACCCTGTCAGCTATTGTGTAATGTCTCCAAATGATGGGAACACTGGTAGCCCCAGTGTGCTGGCAGAACTCATTATCAATTGTAAACTAGATCTGCAGGACTGTCTTATGTGCACAGCGCCATCTGTTCTAATAGAAGCTGCTCGTTGTTTATAATACTGCTCCAAAGAAACAATTTAAAAAAAAGGTTAGAAACAGGTTTTGTTTTTTTTAAACACTATTTAGGATAGCTGTGTGAATGGGAACACAAACATAGGGGTCTATTCACTAAGCTGCCGTAGGCAGCCGAGTGAATGACCGACCTGAAGTGGGCCGAACACTGTTCGGCTATTCACTTCAGGCTGGTACGGCTGATTTCAGCCACACATCAGCTGAAATCAGCCGTACATCGGCTTGCTTCACGATTGTGCGGAGCTAGCAGTGAAAGCTAGCTCCGCCCAATAGTTTCCTATTGTCCGGCGGCTCTGCTGCCGTCAAAAAAAGAAAAAAAAAAAAAAACTTTCCCGGCGCTCTGGGAGCCTCCGGCTCCTGGTCGCCCAGGAGAGAAACACTGCCGTGTCTTTTTCTTTATTCTGACACGGAGCGATGTCAGAATAGAGAGAAAAAAAAAAAAATTCCCATTGAAATACATTGCTACATTACTATTGGCTATTTCAATTTGCAATAGTAAACTAGCATTGTACCCGCCCTCTGCTGATGGAGAACTGCAGCAGAGGGCGGGTACAATGCTAGTTTACGATTGGCTATTGCAAATTGAAATAGCCAATAGTAACGTAGCAATGTATTTCAATGGGAACATTCTTTTTTCTCTATTCTGACATCCTGGGGACATGAAGGGGTCCTGGGGCCGAAGCTACGGCTAGATCCTTCGGCAGCTTTGTGAATAGACCCCATAGCGGAGGTTTCTCAAACTGGCTACAAAAAAGGTGGAAATGCATATTAAAAGGATACGCTATTAAAAGTAGATAACGCACACCATATCCAGTGCGTTCCGGCCAGGCAGTGTTCTGGGGCAGGAGGGGACATGTCGATGCCATTCATGTCAATGGCACCACAGAGACACACCCCGTCCGCATAGTTTGCCCACACCGGAACACAAGGTACAGGAACGCCCTACGTTACAGTGCAATCTGAAGAAAAAAAAAATGCATGCAGCATTTTTTCAAATTGCACTTCACTGGAACGGAGGGCATTCCTGTACCTCATGTTCCGGTGCGGGCGATCACAATGCGGGCGGGGTGTGTGTCTGGCACGACACGCCCCCTCCCGCCCCGGCTTGATCTATGTGATGCAGCGCGTTCTGGACACGATCCACACCAGAACGCACTGGATATGGTGTGACTGGGCTCTTAATGCAGTACTAAACTCAGGCTTAAATCTTGAAAATACATTCACGTACCTTAACCATTAACATGAAGGTGTCTTATTTGTGTATCACTCGGCTGTAGATCCTCAAATCCTCTCTGAATTGGTGCCGACACTGTCCTTCCTTCTGGAGGGTGGCTACTTTTGTTGTAAAGTAGTCACTGCACCAAGCTCGCTCCTGGGATGGACTACAATCTCACGTTTAGTTTACTAATTTGTAGCCAGATTGTATTCCATCACGGGAGTGATCTTGGAGCGGTGACTACTTTACAAACACACACAGGGACAATGGGGAACAAAAGTACCCCCCCTCCAGAAGCAAGGGCAGTGTCAGCACCTAGTAACCTGAACTATTTTTGATAATAGTTGCAGTACTTGAATGCAGTTTTAAGATTTAACTCCTGAGTTCAGCGTCACATTAAGGCCCCATTCACATGTAGCGACATACCTTTGTAGCGGCCGGGATAGCGCAACTTTTGGGGCGACGTTCCGGCGACGGTAGCGCAACATTCTCAGTCGGGCTCCATAGAAAAAAGCTAAATCGCGCAAAATCCGCTGAAAAAAAGGGTCCTGTAGAAGCGACTTGCGACCCCGACATGGAGCTAAGACAGCTCCATTGACTATCATTAGCCGGCGACTTCTCGCAAAAAATGCGCGATATCGCGCGGCGGAAATCGCACAATAAGTCGCTACATGTGAACGGGGCCTTAGTGTTGCACAGAGTGGGAGAAAAACGTTTTTGGTTTGTGCTCTCATTATGAAGATTACACCTTGACATTGGACCAGATGATACGACAGATGGGACTCACCTGGCTCGGCTTCTCTACAGTGCTGCTGGGAACTTCAGTGGTGTCGCGCACAAAGTAGTTTTCTATGATGTCTTTGTCAGCACACTCCTGATTACACATGGGACATCGGATTATCCCAACTGCAGACAAAAATAAAAAGAAAGCAACAGGGTTAAGGAGCTTGAACAGCACAGAGTTCATTAGGTTTGCTTAATTCCAAAGAAACAGACAAGAAAAATCACACTTGGTATTGGGGTGCAGTAGTAAATATACAGTAGTTGTGATTAAATTTAATTTTATGCTAGGTCTAAAAAAAAAAAAAATATAAGGGGAGTCTGAAATATTACATATTTTGTATCCTTATCTTTAGGCTGCACCGAAATCTCAAACTGTATTGTCAGCACTGCCTAGTTCTCCTCTGCTGGACTACAGAACCACGCCTTCTGTTCTCATCACCACTGCAAAAAGGGTGTTCTGTAATACAACAGTGGAAATTGGACAGGGTTGACAACACTGCTGACGATTTCACGTCAGCAGAGGCACTGCGTTGTCAGCCCACTACAGAAAGTTAGGAGCTCACTGTATTTGCTGCATTTTTAAAGGGTTACAACACAAGGAAACACAGTACACACACACACTGACAACGCAGTGCCTCTGCTGACGTAAAATCGTCAGCAGTGTTGTCAACCCTGTGAAGTTTCCACTGTTGTATTACAGAACACACACACACACATTATGTATATGTATGTATGTATGTATGTATGTATGTATGTATGTATGTATGTATGTATGTATGTATGTATTTTTTATACATACATACATACATACATACATACATACATACATACATACATACATACATATATATATATATATATACATACACACACACACACACACACACATATACATATATACACACACACTTTTAATATTGCAAAGATTTAAAACAAAAAAACTGAAACACAACCATTGAAGTTGCCCTTTAATATATGTGAACACCATGTAAACAGAAGCCCACTGCTTCAAACCCACTGTAGACACAACAATCTGCATTAAATGAGAACGGGCAGAGTTCAATGCACTCATCCCCATAGTTAGCGCCGATGTCTGGCAGTGAAGCTGTCGCATATTGACTCTACTGATCAAGAACTGAGCGATCACAAACTGTTGATCACTCAGTTCACAATCTTCTCCACGCAGAGAGCGGTGACCGTCAGTCATCACTCCTCGCAGGGATTACCCTCTGCGTTCCTCCAGTGCTCAGAGGGACAGACCAGGGAGGGGCGGGCACAGCTGGCTCTGGATCTAGAGGGGCAGGGTCAGCTGTCAATCAGGCAAAAGGGTGAATCCTGACAATATTGTTGGGATCTTTCCTGGCTGCAGCGTGGCTCTGCATTAGTAAAAATTTTCTCCTGTGACCCAAAAGAGAACACTAAAAAAAGGTTTGGCCGTAGTTCTCCTTTCAGCTCCAAAGACGTTACTTTACTTCGGCTGAATAAAAAGTACCACAAGCAAGGCCTTCCTGTAGCAGAGCGATTTTCTATTTTTTAATGAATATTTTATGATTACTACAAGTGACAAGACATTGATATGCAAGTTCAAAAACACAGATTATTGCTAGAGTACAACAATCCAGTGGACCAATAACTAGGAACCATAAAACATTGCAATCTCATTTCCTTACACTCGGACAGTAAAACATTTTTAACAATCTTACTACACGCGCACACACAAAAGTCTTGTGACCACTACAATACTGCTCTAGCAATTGCACCAGCAGCTGCTCTACGTGAACCCGATGACCAAATGCGGCTACATATCTGATTATATAAAAGTCATGCCATGGCCTGGTTACAGCGGTTATCCAACGGGTTGCATAACACACAAATACTAGAAAACCTCCACTGTGCCAAACACAAGCAGCCACAACCCAGAACAGGAGCAGGATTTAATGATGAAACCTCAAAAACACACATCCACCGTCTGCTAGATAACATGGAGTCAGAGGGAGGTTTGCTAGGTTTTTGCCCACCCACAATCACCAAAAGATAAACATGCTGTATTAAGTCTTCAACGCATTTTGGTAGTCTTTTCATAAAGATGGTTTTTCTGAGATCTACTTGTTATGCAGTTGATAAATACAGGCAATAGTGCTCATCGAGAGGACACCACTGTATTCCTTTCCATAGTTTATATATCAAACTGAGAAAGTGGTGTCCATCTGGATGTGCTACTTGGCACGGCTGTCCAAATCTGAGGACTCTAAAAGGAAAGAAATACTATTGTATGTATTTCGTGTAGAGTAGTTAAAGTGACATTAAACCCTCAGATTTTTTAACATAAACCAATACTGTAATGTGTGCCTTACTGTAATCCATGGTTGTTTCTCTTCTCATGCTGGGCAGAACTTCTGTTTTGCAGCAGACTGCCTTGTCTCTGAAATTGATACATGGTGTCTGTGTGTAGGTTCACAACCTGAGCCAGCACTACAGGAAGAGGCAATCAGCTGCAAAGGGAAGTTCTCCCCAAGCATGAGAAGACCTAAGGATTTAAAAAGGAAGAGCAGCAAAGAGAAGGGAAACAACCATGGATTACAGTAAGGCGCACATTACAGTATTGTTTATGTTAAAAAATCTGAGGGTTTAATGTCACTTTAAGCTTTTTAGCAGGTTCAGGAAATCTTTGTATCAAATTTACAAATAGTATTGTCACAGTGCAGTGCAGTCTTCAGGTTATACATGTTTCCACGCTAATCACACTAGGTGTGAATATTACATATAAAGCCAAAACACTGATTTTGCCTATATTTTAGATTAATGGTCCATCTATAATGACATAGCAAGGTCCCAGTTTTCATAAATCAGAGCCTTTCCAAGTGCTCTTATTAAAGTCACACTACCAACATTCCTTAAACTCCAATGATTGCGTTATAAACATCAGCAAATACTACCAGGCAAGAGGTTCATAAAAAAGGTTCACATTACTGAGGACTTTTCAACTGATAAAGTCTAAATATTACACAATACAAATACCAACTCCAAAAGGTTTTCTTTTACGTTTTGGATAGAATAAGAAGGGGTTAGCACTTCAATCCGACATGTATGGCTGTCTAGAAGATCTACCCTCACATTTTATACATTATACAATTGCAACTTTAGGAGCTTGTTGGGACATCCCATCCCATTAACAAGGGCCATTAATATACTGGCTGGCTGTATTTTGCTGGCTCCTACATTTTTAAGCCAGCTCCTGGAGAAATTTGCCCAGGCCTGAATAATACTTTTCCCCATAGTTCTCCTAAGGGTCACGGGAGAACACAAACTAGCGTTCTCCCGTGACCCAAAGCTCAGTATACCGCAAGCTACAGCTCGCGGTATACTAAGACTCCGCAGCCAGGACGGATACCGACAATACTGCCTGGATCCACCCAGCTTCGGGATTGCAGAAGCAGAGCCAGCTGTGCCCGCCCCCTCCCCGGTCCGTTTCGCCAGTCAGCGCTAGAGGATCAGTCTGCAGGGATCGAGAAGTGAGCGAGCGACGGTATGTGTTCTCACTTCCCGATCTACTGAGCCGACCTGTGACAGTTTCATTGTCACAGGTCGGCTCAGATTATGAGGCTGAGTAAAAAAATCGCCTCATAATATTCCTTTAAAATGTCCACAACAGCAGTGGCAACACCGAGTGAGTGGTGTTCATGTATGGTACTTTTTATACAAATTTCCACAATAAACATACTTTCCTGCTAGTGTGACTAGTTCATTACCTTTTCAAACTGTTTTTGTCCTATTACAAAAATTGGGGCTGATCATGTGATTATAGCATGTCTATTTCAACAGAACACCAGCAGGTACAACAATGCAAGAGTTAAAAATACATGCTATAAATATAACCAACTTAAGGAGACATTTTTCACAAATGTAGAGCTACACTTCAAATCTACCAAAAAGATCAGTGCATGTGAAATCTCTCACACACACACACACACACACACACACTCCTGGGCAAAAATCTTTGCACCCCTGCAATTCTGTCAGATAATGGGCTCCTGAAGCCCAGCAATAAGCTGTAAAGCCGACAGTCGCCTTTGCAAGTTTAAAATGGGCCTGATGCCAGTGACGTCACTGGTCATTAAGGGGTTAAAGAGAAGAAAAAAAAAAACCTCACGCCAGAACTGGTTCCAGACAAAGCGCTGGAGAGTACTGGACTGGCCAGCAATGAGTCCAGGTCTGAATCCCATAGAGCACCTGTGGAGAGATCTCAAAGCAGCAGTACGGAAAAGAAACCCTTCCAATGTGAGAGACCGGCAGCAGTTGTAAAAGCCGAGTGGTCCAAAATTCCTGTAGAGAGATGTAAGAAACGAATTGATGATTACAGGAAGCGATTGAAGTCAGTTATGTATTCCAAGGGCTGTGCTACCAAATATTAATTAGGGTGCCAATAAATTTTGTCCAGTCCATTTTTGGAGTTTTGCGTGGAATGTCAGATTAGGCTATTTTTTCCAGCGCAAATTGGTGCATCATCTGACAGAAATGCAGGGGTTACAATATTTTTGGGCCATGACTGTTATAGATTTGCCATATTTGAACTACTGGATGATATTCTTCTTCCTGGTTTAAGGGTTCTTGCTAGACTCCAAACCAATACACAGTTCTTTGCACAAGTGTACAATCCCTTGAGACTTCCCCATGTTACAGTACTACAACTTGCATTAGGTTGGCTTTAATTGGGACTAAGGGTCACCAAAACGGTCATAACAATTTACAACAACATAAGAAACTGAATAATACTGACGGCATAAATCTCCACCCCTTTGATGTGAAACACCTAAATAAAAACTCACGCAGACTTTGTTAGTCACATAATTAGTTGAACGGAGTCCAAATGTAAGCAACTGAAGTGTCACACGATCGCCAAGTAAATACACCTGTTGTTTCAGGAAGGCCTTAGGAGTGTTGGAGAACATCAAAACAAGTTAAGCACAAATTTCCCAAAGGGTTGGGTTATCAAACAACAACTATTTCAACGTAGCTCAGAGCGCATAAACAAAAAAAAGAAGGAAAATATGGCAAAGCCATAATGCCGTCAAGGAGAAGCCAGCCAACAAAACTTAACCAGATAAGTGGAGCAAGTAATACAAGCAAACCAAAAAGCTTATAATAAAAACTGAGAGACATGAAAAGATCCACAGCCAATATGGAAGTAACCAATCATGGGACAACCATAACCTGGACATCCACAAAGATGGGCTTTAGAGAAGAAAGCCATTCCATTGGATTCTCCCAAAAAGGACAGGAGACACAGCAAATGTGGAAAAAAAGTTGTCTGGTCTGACGAGACCAAAACACGAACTGATGTGTGTGATGAAACAACACTGCTCATTACTCTGAGAGCACCATCCACACTGTGAAGCGTGGTGGTGGTGGTGGAATCCTTGTCTTGATACTTTTCATCAGCAGGGAAAGACAAATTGATCAGTATTCAGAACAAAATGGATGGATCTAAATACAGAGGAGTTCTAGAGAAATACGGTTTCAGTCTTCAAAAAAACCCAAGACTCTTGTTAGGCCTACATTTCAGTAGGACAAGGACTCCCAAACCCAGTCAAATCTATGCTGCTTTAACCCCTTCGTGACTGACGACGTACAGTGTACGTCGCCAGCATCGGGGCTGTTTAAACAGACTCCCGGCGACTTTTACCGCCGGGAGTCTGTTTAAAACTTGTAGAGCCGACTGTCGGCTTTACAACAGAAGCGATCCTGGCGACTTACCTGTCGCCAGATCGCTTCTGCGTCCCGCCGTGCTTCCCGGGCTCCGTTGCCCCTCCTACGGGCCCGGGACCGGCGATCTTTGTGTCCGCGGGGAGCTGGGGAGGAGGTCGACGAACTTCCGTTCATCGATCCCCTCCCCATTCTATGGGACCGGGAGCGATGCAGATTGCATCACTTCCGGTCCCTGTGCTGTCAGTTCTGGGCTCCTGCAGCCCAGCTATAAGCTATTGAAGTGCGATCTGCACTTCAATAGCTTATTTCCAGTGTAAAGGTGACACTGAGGGTCTTTTGGACCCCCAGCATCACCTTAAAGAGGACCTGTCACCACCATCTGCTATTACATGGGGGGGCTTGCAAGCCACCCCATGTGATAGCAGTCAAAGTAAAG